TGTGACAGGCAGCCAGATACACACACACACACACACACATGTGGCAGAGGTATTGGCTTTTGAAACTCAAGCCACTGTGTGGCTAAGAATGCAGCTAAAGGCAACGCAAACAGGTTAAGCCAAGGCTTAAAGCCATACCGCAAGAGGCAAGCCACAGCTGTGGTGCCAAATGGAGTGTGTTGGGGGAAGGGAGACAAGGGGACAGCCATGGCTGAAGAATTTCGTTAAAGTTTTGGAAGCGAAGCTGAAAGTGAGCGCTGTGAGAAAAACGGAATGTTGAACCCTTAAAAACATTCAATATTCACCCAATTTTGATGTTATTTCTATTTCAAAAATGTAAAAACATTAAATATTCAATATTCATCTAATTTTGATATTATTTCTGTCTAAAAAATTTAAAAACATTTAGTATTCATCTAATTTTAATATTATTTCTATTTCAGAAATGTAAAAACATTCAGTGTTTATATAATTTGGATATTATTTCTGTTTCAAAAATTTAAAAACATTCTGTATTTATCTAATTTGGAAATTATTTCTGTTTCAAAAATTTAAAAACATTCTGTATTTATCTAATTTGGAAATTATTTCTGTTTCAAAAATTTAAAAACATTCAGTAATCATCTTATGTTGATATTATTTCTGTTTCAAAAAAATTTAATAACATTAGCATTCATCTAAATATGATCTTATTTCTATTTAAAAACTTTAAAAACACTCAGTATTTATCTAGTTTTGAAATTATTTCTGTTTAAAAAATTTAAAAACATTTAGTATTCATCTAATTTTAATATCATTTCTACTTCAAATTCTCAACCAGTATTAACAAAATAAATGTGTTGATTAGAAACTTGTAGAACGATAAAGTTTTGCCAGCCAGATAATAATCAGACATAGACATTTTGATTAAACTTATTTAGTGTGATTGATGATTAGGAATTTCGATTAAAACTATGCAATTTATTAATTATATTTCTAATACCAACCATCTTAATCAGCTGGCAATACTTTAAAAGAGTCTCTTTAGCTAAGGTATTTGTTAAGCAAATAAAATGGTCCTTGCTCTTATGACCCAGAAGTATGACCCTGAATTCTTTCGAGAGAAACACTCTTTTGGAGTGAGCAGCACTGTCACTGTCAGCTTTGTCAAATTTTCTTTTCATTTTCTTTATTACTTACATACATATGTACAAGTAAGTAATATATTTACAAGATACGGAATTATTCAACAATGAAGTTCGATTTAATTTGGGTTAAAGAATGGAATTTCTGTACTCGAAGTGATCAGCATGTTTTCGAATGCTTTTGATAAGCACATTTTTGTGAACGGCATAAAATATTCAAAGAGCATTGATCAAGCGTTGAAGACGAACCACAAACCACAGCCAAGACGACCCAGAAAATCAACTGATGACAGATGTCTCCAGCATTACTCATGATGTGGCTGATGCTGTTGGCATTTCTAAGGGATTGCTCAAAACTATTTTAAGAGAATTGTTCTGCCTCGAAAAAGTCAAAGCTCGTTTGGTTTCAAAAAGATAACTATAGATGAGATTTAGATATACTTGCATGCTTTCGACCCCGAAAAGTCTCCATAAACATCAATTTTTCACTAAAAGTTAATTTCCACATGAATTTGTGGGATTTAGCCAATAAGAATTATAGGCTAAATTGTAGATTACAAACTGCAATTTGTTGTTGGAATGCTTACAATATAATTAATCTAAATTATAGCTTCTAGACACTTCAATTGAAATATATTTTGTTCCAGCGCTCCACTTGTACTTCACTCCTGCAGCCGTCTGTTGCTTTAAGCAACGACTGATTTAAGTTTATTGTAAGCTTGAAAAAAAAACATCACTTTATTGAAGTCGAAGACCAAAGTTGAAGACCAAAGTGAAACTGACACCCCAGCCGTAGGCGCTGGGGAACCTACAAGCCTAAACACTCTTTCAACAATTGTCAACAATGACAGCGCCAAACGTTTGTGCCGACTTTCCTATGGCATTATATTCATAATTCTCACAATTAAAAGAAAAACGCACGACTGAATAGAAAACAAAACAAAAATGGAAAAATGGATAGGAGGGGAAAAAAAGTTGTGGCAATTGCAACTAATCGACAGTGCGTCGTGAAAGTATACACCTTAATGTTGGAAAACTTATGAAATTGTCAAACGCTTTTCAAGCCGATTAGGCGACTAGAATGAGCTTCAAATGCACTTTCCCTGATGGAAGGAAAGCTGTTCGTTAATAAATTGTCGATCAGCTTCAATCATTCACTAACAAAATATACATGCCAATTTTTTTGATTGACAGACAGATATGTTGATGGTTGAGTTGATTGGCGGCCACTATGTATGGCTGGCATGTCTCTACAAGTATATCGATTGTAGGGCCAATCTACAAGTATGTTGCATGTGAAACGCAAGACATTTAACTGTCGGCACAGATCTGGCCAATTTAGCTGGAAAATTTAATTTATATCCAGAGTTTTGATTATTTTGATTGATATGTGTGTGTGTGTGTGTCATGCTTTAAGCAACTTAGGAACTGAGGAATGTGTGGAAACCTTTTTTTTTCATTTCAAAAAGAACATTTTTCAACGAACAACCCTTAATCGCCGCCCCATCCCTCTCTCCCTCACACAACCTTTTTACCTTTTTGACTTTTGATTTCTCGCACTTGGCAGCAGGCAGGTAAAAAAATCATCATTTTTACCTGCTTAGCCTTTTTGTGAATTGATTTAAAGTTCTTTTGTCTTCTCTACCTGTCAACTGTCAATTATAGTTTACCAAATAATGGGGCCAAGTATCTGCACCGAATGCCTAAACATGAACCGGCTACGGTTTCTCTTAGCGTTGACATAAACACTGAAGTCAAATGGAAATAGCGGAGAGACGATATTGGATTCTATCCAAGTTGTCGAAGAAAAAGGGAAGGTGACAAATAAAGAATTAACAAATAAATCGAATAAAACAGAAATAATATAATAACAATAATAATAGAAATAACTTAAATTAAAATAAATTTACTCTAATGAAAATATAATATTTCTAGCATGTTTTTTTGTCTGAAGGAATGACCGCAATAAAAACACAGACTTTGCAGTGCCATTTCTCTTAAGTACAAGCATATCAACTCATTAATAGGTTTCTTCTGTGTTCATCTGTTTCAATCCCGGAGCTTATATATACTAGAGAAATCGGTCTTTGTAACTTGATACTGTGTAAAAATAATATATACTTTGCTCTACATTAATCCGTATAATTTAAGATATTCAGCGCTGTTGAAATGAAGTTTTTGAATAGCACAGCATTAGAACTCTCTTTTCTCATGTTATGATTTGATTTCTGAATCTATATGCGATTTTTTATAAAACTAAACTAATATAATTGATTATTAAATACATATAAAATATTCAAGACTTTTTGAGTTAAGTAAAAAAGTATTTTGCTAGTGATTAAATTAAATTATTATTTGTGTTTGTTTGTAGGTTGACCGGTTTAATCTCAAAGATTATAAGAGTTCAAGAAACCATAGTTAGCAAAATGATTCTCCTAGAATTTAGGCATGTTAAGTTTATAAACATATTAGATTATCTAACGAGTAGAAATTAAATCTTGTGAAATATTGTAAATATATAGTATAGTGGAAACTTGAATCTCTCTCTTTTCAAGAAGAAAGAAGTTATTCTTTTGCCTTTTTCTAGATATTATCAAAGTATTTTGTTCAATTTTATGGATTGTATAATCACTTAATGATACTAATCGAAGAAGGGACGTTTTCAATGCATATCTACACATCGGGATACATATCTACACGAGAGGGCACTAAAGTAGTTTATTGAACTGAATTATAATGATTTTTGTTAAATAAATGAACAAAATACCGAATATGGATTATTTCATCTACTCATGCATTTTAGGCTTCAATATTAGGTATTTAAGTTTTATAATTGCTAAATTCTTTTAAATAGACAATCCGCTTTATACAATGATTCAAATGTAGTTACTTCTTTGTATTTTTAAGAGTACTTTCTAGTCAACTGCACTTCGATCGCCATCGGCTAATGAGAACATAAACTTAAATTGCTCACTAAGCTGGTGAGAAAGCTAATTAGTTATAATAATATTGTCTTCGAACATGAATGCTTCAAAGATAGTGAAAAGACGATTTTGGCAAATCGTAAAAAAACCATAGCCCGCATGTAGCATAAAAGCTAATAAATAAATAGAAATTCGCTAAAGTTCATTAAAAAATAAACGAAACAAGTTTATTTGCCAAAATTCTTAACAACAAATTTGTGTGTTCTTTTTTGTTGTCGTTGTTTATATTTTTTGCTGCAAATAGAGCGAGAGGAGCGGACGACGACGAAGGAGAAGACAAACAATGGCGGGCCTTTCGTTCTGCTTTTCACTTCAGTCAGTGAAACTTTTCTACCAAAATAAATGTAAAGAAAAGAAGTAAGCGCTTTTGTGTTTGTTGTACAACAACAAAATATTAAGCAACAAAAAAAATTGAGGTTAACTGCGTGCCGCTCTCGCTTTTCTGACTCGCGCTGCGGCTTTATTGAATAAATGTGACAGAGCTGAGCTGCGCTGGCTGACTGACTGACTGAATGACTGACTGACTAACTGAATGACTGATGGCTACACTGACGCACAGGCGGCTTCTTTGTTTTGTTTTTAATAGAAAGTAAAAGAAATTGTTCTTGAGCGCGTTTCTTTGCTGCGCCTCATACGAGTATTTTATTTACAAACAAATCAATCAATTAAACGCAATCACACAGTCACATTAATTGGCTTTTATATTAAAAAGAAAAGACAAAAATGAAAGCAAGTCATTTGTAAATGCTTTTGTTTAAACATGCTCGCAATTACAATTAAAAGGGTGTAGCAATTGCAAAAAAAAATCACTACACGCCACACACCCAGGCAGTGTCTATAAATTTAACAATAATTAAGTAACTATATTTTAGCATATTGGATTGCAACTCACCTTTTTTTAGACAAAAGCTGCGCGATTCGATTTACAGTTTCGTTTTATATTGCATGCACGTTTTAGCCGCCGTTTTGTATTTTATTCAAGTGGTTTTTGTTTCAATAATCCAATTTATGCGGCATGTCAGCTAAGAGGTTATCCTTGAAGTCAGCAGCTTTTTCTTTCCCTTCGTATCCCGTTTCGTATGCAATACAGACGATAGCTTCGTGCAGTGTTTATGGCAACTTAAAGTTTATATGCATATAGTTTTTTATAAATTAAAAAACATACAGCTCGCGTTTTATGTGAAACACAAGGCCGACGTTGCACTGTTCCGAGAAGTAAACAAACGAGTGGAAGAGACCATAAGAGATAGAGTGCGTTTAGGAGCCGAAAATTTCCAGCGATACATAAATAAAATTTATGTGCGTTTCTTATACAGTTTTCTAATATGCTAAGCGTTCGCTCTGAGGTTTTGCCTCCACAATTATGAATAATGCATGCGTTGGTATGTTTCAGATTCTTGGCCAACTAATGGAGCTCTAAGTCGCTTGACGATGCCAAGCACGTCGGCATTTGAATGAGAACAGTGTAAGAAATCAAAGGAAAAAATATTTATGTTAATTAGCAGAATAACAGAGTTGAACATTTAAAGTTGTTGCGCTTAGTGCGGGCCGTACAGATACAGAACTACATAGAGAAGCGGCGAATAGAGAAAAGGCAAGTGAGTTAAAAAGCGTTGACCATCTAACCATTTGAAAATAATACTTTGAATAGCTTTTAATGCGTTTATGGGGAGCATCTGGATGGATTTTCTTTTCTAAAATACAAATATATTTTTAAATAAAAACTAATCCACGATCGGACAAAGCAAATATTTAAACTCCAATTCGTTCAATTTTCATTTTAAAATCATAACAGTCTTCGGCCTTAATCGTTTCATGAACGAAAAAGGGTTGGCGGACGTCAGGTCAAGCTCTGATAGAATGGCGGGAGGGGCTCCACAAATTGTTAAAGACCGAGTGGAAGCGATAAAAGTAAAGAGTACAGCATGCTTAGCAATTAAAAGCGATCATAAATTGGCTGATTCATTAAACAAAAAACTGTTCATTGATCATTGATAATGGGTTCGGAATTCAAAATAGTTTAACAAGTATTTCTATGAAATGTGCTTCAATATTCATCGAATTCTTTTAATTTGTTTTTGCATTATTTCGTCGAAAATAAATAAAATAATACTTGCATACTACATTATTTTTCGAATAACTTTTTCACGTCATTTTAATTGTCTGTTTGTGTATATCGTTTATATGCAAGTATATTTGTTTACAAAGAATTCTATGCCTGAAAAAATAGTCATTCATTTAAAAAACTTGCTTTACGAATTTCATAAAACTTCATCGGCATGTTGTGATTCATTTATTCTTACAAAGTGAGGAACTGGCTATGGAAGAAATATTAGATATTACTATTGAAAAGCAAGATATAAATGTTTTGAAATAACTATTGATAATGAAAATGAAAAATAAATGTATTAAAGGGCTCATTAGCAACTGCAGGCGTTTAAAAAAATCTGTTAAGGCACGAACTTCCTTCCAAGGCATTCCCATTAATTTTCCTTTCTTGGTGCTTGAAAAGCCACTTAACTTATTAAAAATCCTAGTTTTCAGCAAATTTCCCAAGACATTCTAATCACATGCCACCTGCCCATTGCCACGCCTACTTGTTGCTGCAAACGACAACAACAACAACAACTTCAAAAAGTGCTGCTCTTTGCGCAGAAACAAAAGACTTAAGCCACAAACTTGGCCATATAGAAAATTGCTCAACTCTTTTGGCACTTGTTGTTGCAACGTCCACGCGTGTTTTGGTTTTTCAATTGAATGCATTTACAAGCGCCTCACCTGCCAGCCCCTCCCCCCACCACCCACAACCCGCTTGGCCTGCTGTCAAACCACAAGCTGCAATTTTGTTGCCGCCTTTTGGTTTTTCTCTCTGCGGTTGTTTTGTTGGCAGCTACTGTGTGTGCCTTCTTTGGAACTTTTTACTTGAAATTTTCATTGCGCAAAGAGAAAAATATTCACTTGCTGTAAAGTGTTGCTTCTGCCTTTTCCCAACTATTTCTGTCTGTATGCCAGTCTTGTGTCTGTGTGTGTGTGTAAGTCTGGTTAATGGGAGCGTAAATGAGCGCTTACTTGTGGGGATGGTATGCCATATAAGTATGTAATGGTGTCTGTGCATATTCTAATGTCGGTTGAAGTCAAATGCAGACGGGCAGTAAAGTTAATGTGATTTCCGAGTGTTGTAAGCAATGGGCAAGCAAGTAATGTGTGGAATAGGTTTCGAGAGCTCCATTTTAAAGTCAACTTACTCGACTATGAGTCAGCGTGGAGAGCACAAAAATAAAGAACTTGCTTAGGCATTATTTAGAAAATGTATAAGAAACTGAAAAGAATTCGAATACGCAGGAGTAGCATATTTATTTTCATAAATGAGAAGTGTGTAGAAAGTTTTTAGAATTGGTCAACACAGTTTTGAAATATCTGCATTTAAAGTTTTTAAGTTTATTATTTAGAATTAATAATTAAATTGAAAAGTTTGTATATTGTTTATTATTGTTTTCTGTCATTATGTAATTATTGTTTATATTACTTTTTGATTGATTTTCAAATATTTTGAAATATTGTTTAAATTTGAATTGAAATTGTTTTTTGTAGATTGTTTCCAATGCATTATTTTGTAGATTTAATTATTTATTTATACATGTACTTATTATTTTTATTTATCATTATTTTATTATTATCCAGCATTTTTCTTAATGCACTTTTATCTGCAGCTAAAAAATTGTTTTTGAAATTTAATTGATTTTACATTTTATTGAATATTTAAATAAATTTATTTTTAATTTATTTCTTCAGTTGTTACAATTATGTATGTCCGATTTATTTAGTGTAGAAATTTTCACAACTTTATTATTTTTTTTTTTTTAATTGTTTATTGTTTTAAAAATATTGTAAGTTTTTAGTTTATTTTGAAAAGGCTTTGTTGGCACAATTTATTTTTGTAGTTTTTGGACTTAAAAAATATATCATCCAGTCGCAATATTTTAGTTTCCTTTGTTTTTAGCAATGTTTAGTTCTTTTGTTATATTATTTAAAGTTTTTGAAGTCAACATGTTCTTATTATTTGCAGTAAATGTATTTGAAATTATTGTAAATTTTAATCGTCATTTAAAATACTTTTTTTAATCCAAAAATATTTCAAAGCATTTCTTTAAATTTGTTTTAAAAAATATTGAAATAAAAATTGCATTCGTTTGTAATTTGTTGCACTAATTTGAAATGATCATTTTTGTATATATTGTCATTGCGTTTTATTTGTTGTTTTTAATTGCAGCTTTTGTTATAGTTTTCAAATATCAAATTTATTGATAAATACATTTATTTTTAACATTTGTTAAATATTCCTTGGCTTTTAAGCCACAATGATTCGTTTTTTTTTTTTGTTTGTTTGTTAAAGCCCTTCGGGCAGCCTCTTAAGATGCCATTCGGCTCTGATTGCCAGTTTCCTCATAGAGCACACGCGCTTTCATTAGCGTAGCAAAATAACTATCCTGTGCCACACACACACACACACACGCACACACTTGCACACAAACACGCACACAATTTGACAAAATCCAGTTTGCAGCACACACACTCACACACACATAGAGAGAGAGAGAGACACATTCAGTGCAGAAAGTTGTTGGCTGTGGACAAAATCTCGACGCGTTTACTGTACCATCACAGACGAAGGCCAAACTCAGACTGAAACTTGTTCAAGAAAATGTACGCGACTGCACCTGAAGTTTTAACCACACAGAGACGCGCACACGCATACAAATGCCAGATCGAGCGATCGAGCGAGCGAGCGACCGACCGTCCGACCACAAGACAGGCCAGCAAAAAGGCAAAGCGTACGGCAAAAGCGGACAGACGGAGTTGAGGCAAAAGAAAAAGGCAGAGAAGTGAGCAGAAAGAAAATAAAACAACGACGTGCCCGTTTTACAGATTCTTTTCTTTCTTTTTCTTTCCTATTTGCTGTAGTTGTTGTATTTGTTGTTTGCCACTTCTGAGTGCTCAGACTTTTTGCTGTTTTGCACTTAACGGCTTTCACACACACACACACAACCACGCACACGCATACATATCTATTGTACGTACATTTCGCACCCCGCTTATCGCTTAGCTTTCAGTTACAAAACAATGTGATCGATGACTCGAGATTTGTGTTTCGTGAATCGACGCCCCAGCCCCAGCAGCCACAACGTCCAACACGCGCCACTGTTGAAAACGTACTGAGAAAAGCTTTCGGACGGCTAAGTAATGTTGCAGCCGTTACCGGCTCGGCCCGGCCCGGCCAATTGAGTTTGCGGCGAATTTGTTGCAAACACTAAAATTTACGGTCAGTCCCATGTTTATGGCCCTCGTCGGTGCGTGAGCCGCGCCACTGGGCAGGGATTAGTCTTTCAGTATTTGCTGCCTGTTTTCCGCTTCTCGGAAAATCCAGCTAATTACTTGTACGAGTACGTTACTTTTTGCCGAATTTGCCCAAACATGTGCCCTTTAGTGTGGGTTTTTCAACGGCTTTAACCATTCGCTGTTGCCAAATATTTACGGGCACGAACTGCCGGTAATGTGTGGGCCATAAAACCATTTCGGCATGTCCTGCACTTTTGCACAAGGGTGCGAAATGGCAAACGGAAGCAGCTCTCTACTTATAGTCGCCTTTTATTGTGGCACTGCCACAACGAAAGACTTAGACAACGAACTTGTTTACCCATCTATGCAAAAAAAACGCGCGCAAATAGCTTTTAGGGTCGTTCTATTGTGTAACTGAAGGCACGCGAAAAGGGTTCAAAAGGAAGTATATAAGTGATTGTTGATATGAAAAATATAAGGGTTTGGTACCTGTAAAAGGATTCGAAGTAGGGTCAGTATGTATGTTTCTGTATGTACGTGTTGTATAATTCCCTCTGCAATGAAACGAAATGAATAAATATATAGTATTATTATTTTCTTAAGGAGAGTTGATTAAAGTATGTAAGTACTTATGGAAGTTGCAAGTTTTCTGTCATTTATTATGATTACAAAAAATTGTTAGAATTACTATTACTTTTCATTAGTGATATTTAATGGCCTGCATTTGATAAGAAACCCAATATTGGAATACATTGAACTTGTTCTTATCCAGATGACATCCTGCCAGAGCTGCTCTCATTCCTTATTGATTAGATCGTCAATTGACTTAGCTTTAAGCGCGTTAATTACTTTGGTAATACTATCTACCCCTTTATACCAACATTGCAAATCGTTTTCTCAAAATTGGTATTGTAGGGACAATCAGCTAGTGTTAAAAATATCAATAATATAGCCCCAGCACAAACGTTAAATCTGCAAGCTACTAAGTGAAATCTGAAACGCAAAAATTATTATTTTGGGAATACAAGGTGTTCTATGCCTAGCATCTGGCATCTAGCTGAGAACTTTCTAAAAATCCCTTCGTAATTATTCTAGACATAATTATACACTAGCTCAAAGTAAAAAATGTTACAAAATAAAAATATAAAAGCCGATCCTTTTCGAATTGGTTAAGAAGCTGCAAACATATAACACCCAACTTAGATATCCCCATTGAGCCCAATCGAATGCTATTCTACCTTTTTTACATCAGACATTTTTACAATTGCAATTTCCTATTCAACATCCAACTATTTAAATGAATTTTTAAATTAGCCTAAAAAAGTCATATATTTGTGCTGCAGCATCTTTCCAAAAATTCTGTTTTAAAAGCTTCCACAGGGGCAGTGTGTTTTTTATTAACTCAATCAAAAAATGTTTATCATTGTCGAGTCACAGCGCTTTTATTCACTTTGTGGCAAATAGACTTAAAAACAATTTTTCTGCAAATGAACCCAACAGCTATTTGCGATTCAAATGCAATACATTTTCAATTATAAATCTTTCAAATGCTGCTGTCCTTTTTGTCTGCTCTTTATCAGTAAATATTCTGAATTATTCGTATATATGTTTGTAACTGTATTGGCTGCGTTCTCCCCACTTTCTAGTTGTTGACCAGCTGTTTTTGTTATGAAGTGGTGGACTTTAAAGCTAGTGGTGACAGTTCGATAAGTAATCGGAAACAGAATATCGAAATTTAAACTTAACTCTTCAGGAAATGCGCACAAATGCTTTAAATACTTAAAGGATGCTAATATTTGTTTTTATATATTATTAGGTGTTGTTTGATAATATAAGTTATTAAGTTTTTATAAATTTCATTAAATTTTTTATTTTTAAAAGGTCCTATGATTTTAAAATCTACATGCGATATATATTAGATTTAATCTATTATTATTAGATATCATAAAATATTATATTATGTATTATGATTGGATAATATTAGATATTTTGAAATGTTATTCGGTATTAATGGATATTATTAGACATTGTTCCAGATCTTATTAGACATTAGTAATGAGTAGGTAATTCTAGATATTATTGAATATGTATTATTAGATTTTTTTTATTTTTTGATAATATAAAATATCAGTAGGTTTATTAAATTTCTTTAAATAATATTATATGTATGCGTGTTTACTCATAAGATTTCGTTTTATTGCGTTTGCTTACATCGACCTCCTTTTTTAGTCTTAAATTAAATTAATGAAGATCTAAAATGGAACTGAAAAAAAAGTACCAAAGCATATAGTACGAGTAAATCAATATCAACTTTAAAATACAATCAAACATTGCATTGAATGAATTAAAAGAATATATGCGAAATCACAGATTAAAAGTGCAGTGTAAATAATTTTATTGTGATCATTTATGGAAAGGAATTAAATACATTTTATTGTCAGGGGTGAGGGCAAATTGTGTTAGGCCTCATGAAATTTATCTGTGGAAATATTTGAATGCAGTAAAGATCAGAGTCCTAAGAATGTTTTGTTGTTTCTTCTGGTGCTTGAAAAGAGGAGAAATTTGGCTTAATATCATACGCAGTCAGACTTATAAGAATTAATTCATAAATTTAAACGTGTTTCGTTTTCATAATTTGCAACTGCTATTGTGGTGGAAAAGTTCTAGTTTTCGAGAAGCTCTGCATTTGAAATGGTTTGGTTTGTTAATCGTATTTAAATGCTGCAGAATGGTTTGCAACACAAAGTCACTCTAGCAAGTTACTGTATTTGTGATTTGATCTTCTCCTTGTTTCCTGCTATACTAACAAATTCATAAATATATGCTAACATCCCTGACTATCTTGTAGAGTCGTGATGGGAATTACTTTGCATTACTGGAATAAATAATTTCACTTCTTTGACACTATAGATGCTCTAAAAGCTCTGATTTTCTTGAAGTTGAAAGTTATTCCAAGCTAAGATCTAGGTGCTTTGGCAGACAATAATTTCTGTACGATTCGCTTCGTTTAATATTTTTCAATTACTCCTTAATGTTTCAAAATAAAACAAACAAATGCAATGGGAAAATGTGTGAAGATGCGACGATTTAGATGGACATTAATACGGGTAATTACCCAAAGGGGGGTTGCTGCTGTCGAAAAACTGACCGTCACCTTTTACGCCTGGCCGACCACACGAAGTGTTTCCGAAAGTGCAGCGTAAATAGATAGATAAATATAATTAACAAAACAACAACTGAAAGACAGGCGGTATCAGTGAGAGGGGGACAACGAAATGGCTGTCCCTCGCACGGAATGAATAATTGAAATGCCTGTTGACGACATCTTTGTGGCCAAATGGCCCGCATAAGTCGACTTAGAACGGAAGTGGCTTGAAAAGCACGTTCCAGACCCGCTATTCGTATGCAGCCAAAAAGTTCTGACACACAATCCGTTTTGGTCGTAGAAAGTTTTGCTTTTTTAATCAAAAGCATTGGAACATCAAACGAAATATAAAAACACACACACATACATATGTACTTAGCTTGAAATAGCATTCTTTGCTTAAAGCTGTTACATGCAGCATTAAAATGCACAACCAATCAAAATTCTAAGCCTTATTCTAACTGGAATGATCAAATACATAACTAAATATATCAATTTGTATAGAAATAGGACATATCAATTGCCAAGGCATTTGAAGGGCTCCTATAAGCGCATAGGCCCGTTGAAGAAGAAACCGTCCCGAGATGAGAATAGTACGTTAGGACTTTTCGTCACAGTAGTACCGGGCATGATACTGGGTGGCTATTTGGCCAAAGCACTAGCCTATTTATTGGAACTAAGTGAAATCTTCCAGCCCGAGGATCCGGATGATTTCGATGATGATGACAATTAGTTGGAGACAAATCAGAAACAAATCTGCCGGCTGGACAACATTCTAGCCAACAACTTAGAACGCTTGCACATATCTAGGCCGCTTATATAATCGACAAACAAGTTGTAGTCAATAATGTGGGTCAGCAGGAAAGCCAATAAGCCAGCCATGAGGAAAACCAGCGGCGCACAAATGCAAGATCATGCCAATAAATGTTTAAGTAACTTTTTGCTTTAGTAGACAAAGGCATAAATTTAAAAATATTGTTTAATACTTCTACATCAGCTTCTTATTAAGAACATGACATACTTATGTGTGGGTTTTTGGCTATGGCGGCCACCATACACGCACGCGCAAAGACTACCAAAGTGAATAAGCATAATTAAGCAGCAATTGCTTATTAGTTGGTGTGTACGAGTATAGTTAGTGTGCCATGCGGTTGGTTGGTTCGCCATTCATACACGAGTTCTAACTGGGTTGGATATTAGAAAGCTATACATAGCTGGATAGATTTCAGTTACATTTTAATTGCAGTTCTACACATTGATGTTGGCGTCAAAAAAGTAAACTTATTAACTGAAACCAATAGACGCATTCAAAATTGTACTTATCGGCCAGTGCTACCCATCGCTCGACGCACAAATCTCATCGAGTTGGCAGCTCTACAACAGGGCTGCACACAAAGCCACGGCAGACACAGCCAATTTATTGAAACAATTTGTGTAAATTGTAAATAAAAAGTGGTCTGCCAGATTTTAAGCACATCAACGAAAACCATGAGCAACAGCGAGGACTCACAACAGTATATGGATTTAATTGTTAAAGAGGAGGAGGAAATGTCGGGAGGTGATTATTTAGTAGTCGCTTTGTTTTTGTTGTACGTAGCATAAACAAAAGACTCCTTTTGCAGATGAATCGGATAAACAGGATGGCCATGGCAGTATGCTGCGCGAACAGGATCGCTTTCTACCCATATGCAACATCATAAAAATTATGAAGGTGCCTGTGCCACAGAACGGCAAGATTGCCAAGGACGCGCGCGAATGCATACAGGAGTGCGTGTCGGAGTTCATATCCTTTATCAGCAGCGAGGCGATTGAACGCAGTGTGGCGGAGAACCGCAAAACAGTTAACGGAGATGATCTGCTTGTCGCCTTTTCCAACTTGGGCTTCGACAACTACGTGGAACCTTTGTCCATTTATTTGCAAAAATACCGCGAAGTGAGTGCCCGCCCTAATTGTTGTAGAAGTTTTGAGGACTTATAACTTATCGCGTATTATTTGCAGTCAAACAAATCGGATCGAAATTTATTTATGGACTCTAATTACGCACAGAACGAGGATGGCGCTACAAATGAGGCAATGAAATAGTTATTTATAGGCGGGCATTTAAGTTTAATGTGGGGAACAATTTAATTCAAGTTTCTGTTTAATCTGAGATCGGGATGGGCACGGGGCGAGAGGAGCTGTCGATAGAAGCCTAAGAAGAATTCGATTGGAAAACAGGGCTCCATTGGTGGCAAATACATACGCTTGATGACTTTCGGTTTCTTTTCACCTTCGGGTATAACAAATGATTTCGCGGAGATATCACTAGCAATTGTATTGAATACTTCCTGGGGCGATGCAAAAGTTTATAGAATATTCATATTTTTGAATAGTCAAAAAAAAAAAAACCAAGCATTCGTAATATTTTCACACTATAAATACTAGACGTTTTGCTTGATTGTGAAAAAATACGTCATCATCAGATCAGCTAACGCCAGAAATCCTTTTTTTTATTGCCAGACTTTTAATTCAACCGAAGCTCGGTCGTGAAATAGAGGCAACCCCATCATAAGTACAATTAGCCAAAAGCAGCAGCTGTTTTATAACTGCTAGGACTTAGAATTTAGCCATGAATTTTAGTTACTTGTCTAGTGTCATGTGGAATCATGTTTAAGCTTTTCAGCTTGGTTCCTCATGACCCTAGACTAGTAAAGTACAGATAGTACACCTACAAGTAATTCTGTTTTTACACGGTCTTTTTTACATGATTCCATTTAGCATGATTCAAAATAACATGGTCAATGTCTTTTTTACACGGTGTTTTTTTACACGCCTTTTTCTGGAACCAATTTACCGTGTAAAAACAGAATTAGTTGTACATTCTTTCGAAATTTGTATCTATTAGCTAAGCATTTAGCTTAGTTGCAGAATCTCTGCCCGTGCCCATCTCTAGTCAAAGTCAAGTCTTACTTGATTTTCATTAGCGTAATATATATTTAGATTCATTTATTTTCTCAGAAAACACACCAAGTATGGTGTGATCTGTATGTGATGTTTTTGGGTATTCTACATAGATCTACATATAGGTATATATATGTATGTATGTATATGCTCAATAGGTATTACATGCTTAAAACAAACGGAGAGTTTTTTTCACACTTTTTTCAATAAACAAAGTCACATAAGGAACATTTGTGTGCATGGTTTTTTGCAGTTTCATTATTTTTGCTCGATTCCATATTTATAATCATTGATCAGTAAACTAACATATTAAAATCACTGGCTGGTTATTATATATGCAAATTAGCATATTATGTTTCTAATAATTGTACACTATAACTTAAAGAAGACTTCTTGTGGCTGCCACACATTGGGTCATAACATGGCAACATGGTACAATGTGTAAAAAACTGATACTCTAGAACTAATGTTAAAATTAATTGTTGTTAATTGGTGCTACAGAAGCAGCGTCTCATCACTGTCCATGGGCTCATCCTTAATGCGCATCATATTGGTGGTGTCTGTTTTTCCTCTCCTCAACTGCTCATTGTGGAATATGTCCTGATCGCTGTGCTTCAGATGCAAGGTGGGCGTCGCTTCCGGCAGCAATCCGCCCATCGGGGAAAAGCAATAGTCCTCGAAGTGCTTCGAGCATATGTGATGTGTATTATCCCATTTGGCGACGGGTCCGATTTTCAAATTGTAGCACCACTTGGTGCGCAAATTGCGGTTCTCCGGGAAATCAAGAAGCGGCAGCTTCACATTGTCCACCCCGCAGACAACGCAGCTCTGAGCCCGGGCCGGCAAGTGACCTGCACATATAAATTTGCCCCGATATCGTGGCACATCCGACAGCTTTAGGGCTTCGCACCACTGACGCAGCATCGTGGAATCTACGGAATGTACAATAATACGATTATTATCAGAATGATTATTATCTGAAAAAATGTAAAGGTTTAAAAGTTAAATTCGCCGACCCAAAGTCAATATCGAAAGGACTTCATTTAGTTAATTATTAGAGAAATCTTATTTGGCATTGGTTCTTATTAAATTGATTGGGTTAATAATAATCTAAAGTATACTTAATATTGCGATCTTTGTTATTGACTTTCAGCTGAAAATCTATGAAAGGATATATTTTTAAGGTGCCGATATGAGATATCCCATTTCCTCTTTTTAATTCTATACGAAAAGCTATAGAAAACGGAAGATATATTGTAACAATACGACACATTTCTAAGACGCGATTCGTGATTTATGGTAATGGCAGATATTTTTTGCAAAAAACTCTAGAAAAACTATGAATTATAATAAAATATTGTGTGAGAAAAAAAAACGTAACCAGAGGGTTGTCTGAATTATTTTTCTTCAAAATGTGAATATTAGAAACAAGTAGAAAATATGTAACTGGTACGATAAGAGCTATTCTTTCCGATTTGTTAATCGCAAAGCTAGAGATTATTGTGTGTTAGGAATGCTTAAATCTATCTAGATTCCATTTGAGCAATCGTAGAGACTAGGAAATTCAAACGATAGCTATCCTGGTCCTTCCTACATAAGCCGAACCGTAAAATATTTAAACTCAGCAAACGAAAAAAACATCTGCAATTATAATAATAACCGTTCCACGATATCTTAAAAGATCAGAGTCGAATCAGTATAGGGAATGGATAAATTGAACAAGTCTTGTTTATAATAATAACTAATTGACTGTAAATTTAATGATCTGATTCAAAGAAGTGCAGGATATGAGGAGAGGGAGTTATATTATTTGTAAATTCCTAGACTAGCTGTTTCCGCTACCTTTTTTGCCAATGGTGTACTAGTTTTTAATTGATTATCAAATTCGTCATTTATAGTCCATTTTTGTATACCCTGTATACCCTGTAGGGTAAAAAGGGTATGCAGTGAAACACCTCTTTTATCCGGACACTCTCTTCCGCGGACACTTTCTAAAAACATTCGATCGGACAAAAATTGGCCGACCGTGAGCGTCCGGCCAAGAGAGTTTTCACTGTATTAGGTTTGTGCAAAGTATATAACAAGCAGAAGGAAGCATCTCCGACCCCATAAAGTATATATATTCTTAATCAGCATGTCTAGACGAATTGATCTAGACATGTCCGTCCTTCCGTCCGTCCGTCTGGATGAACGCAAGGATCTTAAAAACTATAGAAGCTGGAATAACCGAAGTTGGTATCCAGATTCTTCTAAGTCCGAGAAAGGACGAGTTTATTTTCTTCTTCTTTTTTCTTCTACTAGGGACGTATATAACTCAGTGCCGGAAGTTTGTCTGGGTACAGCATATTTCACTGTCCGAGCAAGCCAGAATGTTTAGGTCAAGAAAATATTGAATAATTGAATATCTGAAATAATCGATAAGCATTTCCATGCTTCCTCTACCTATCTGGTAGAAGAAATCAATTCTTCCCATAAAAGTATCTCCAAAGATTTTCTTTAAACACACTTCAAGCTAACCTTAACTGCGTAACTACAAGTAGACCAGCCATACCATGTGGCTACAGAGCCTTATCTGCACTGTATTGTGGCATCTATTATCTAAGTTTAAACTTGCATTTGGTAATATTGCTAATTGGTAAACAAAATGAAACTTACCCTGGGGAAATTTATACAATCTGACATGCGGGCCCTGCCTGCAGTCGGCCATGCAACATCTGGGTTTAATTTTGTTCGCCTCGGCATTTATCATTTGATGCTCACGCCGATTTTGCTCCGACTGCGTCGATGTACTTTGTTGCTTCCCCGATCCCGGTCCCAGATGTAGAGTCGGAATGGCGCCGCGCGCCAGTCGTCGCACTCCGATTAATTCCGGCTCGAAGTGCCGACTGCAGATGAGTTTCGTATTGCGCTGCGACTCCTTGAACTTCATGCCCGTTGCCTGCTCCCATTTGCGCATGGTGGCACTGTTGACTGGCAGTCGGAAGAGTTTAAGGCCGTCGCCGCGGGGTGTACGACAATAGGGGAGACAGCACATCTTGATTTTGTAGGGTGGCAGTTTGCTGATGTTCTGGCCAATGGAAGGCAGCTCCATTGGATCGCGGCTATCGTTTAGCTGCTGAGCCGACTGCTCCTCCAGTTTCTTCATCACTGATTTCTGTGTCTCCTTCACATCCTCCTGATCATCCTGATCGCTGTTATCCTCCGTGCCGCTGGAGGGCGTACTCATGTCCTGACACTGTTCATTGGTAAATAGATCGTCCGGCACGTTCGAGCCACGATTCAGAGTGGGCACAGCCCACTTCCTAAGCTTGCGCAGGCGAATGCATTGGGGCTCGAAGTGCTCACTGCATACTAAGTATTTCCAGGGACGTTGCTCGTCGAAGCGAATCCGCAAATTATGCTCCCAGCGCTGTTGCTGCTGCTTGGACTTGGGGAACTTGTAGATGTGCACACCATGTTGCGAGCGTTGCTTCTGGCAGTGGATAAGTGAGCATTTGTCGTAGCCGGATTTGATTTCGTTATAAATTATGCCTGTCCGTGGCTGATCGGACTGCGATTCATGTTTGATTTTCATACTAGAAGTCTGTGGTTTCTGTTGTCTTGACTTCCAGTGGTGGTCGTCGTTGTGGCTCTCGCTGTTCGCCGACTTGCCATTGTTAATCTCATTGTTTTCCATTACATGAAGCTGCAACTCCGGTACCAACAACTGCATATCATCGTCATCATCCTCTTCCTCAAGTTCCTCAATATCATCATCGTCCTCATCGTAGTCCATTTCCATATTATTGTGATCGAGTGTCTGCCTATTCTGCATCAGTCGTTTTTCTTTATCTGAACGCGCATTGTAGGACTGTCGGCTGTTATCGTAGAACTCCTCATTATCATCGTATTCCATTTCCTGGTCATCGAAAGATGTCTGCCTAACCCACTCGTGTGCCGGTTGCCTTTTCTGCATCAATCGTTTCTCCTTCTCTTGACGCATGTTGAGGGTTTGTAGGGTATTATCATAGAGATTGGCGGGAGCATTGGGGCCCAGATTCAGGGTCGGCACACTGCCGTGCAACACCCGTGAGTTCATCAGGCAAAACGATGGGAAGTGTGCGCTGCAAATGCGATGACGCCATGGATGCTCGGAGTCGAAAGCCACCTGTGTATTGTGCATCCAACGGTGTCGCAGTTCCCGGGAGGTGGGAAATTTGTGAAGGGTGATGTTTTCACTGGTCAAATGGTTGTAGCAACCCTCAACCTGGCAGTACTTGCTGGACTTTCGTGGTGGATACGCAGCTGCCACAGAGGAAGAGGCCTCCGGCTCACTCTCGTAGTCCAAATTAGTGTCCAACTGTTGTTCCTGCTCGAGCAGCTCCTGCTCTAACAGCACGGATGAGTTGCCCTTTACCGACCTCGTGATGCCGAAGTCATTCTGGAATATGTTTGGAGGTCTATGCGGACCCAAATGCAATGTCGGCATCGTGCCCAATCGAAAACGATAGCCATTAAAGCATTCGGGCTCGAAGTGGTAGCTACATATGCGATAGCGCCAGGAGTATTTCGTATTTACTCGCACCTGAGTGTTGTACATCCATTTACGCAACAGGTCCTGCGATTGGGGGAATTTGTGTAGCTTCACCTCGGTGTCGCGCACGGTGATGTCGCAGCCATGCACACAACAGCGACGAGCATTGTAGGTATTATTGCTACTTCTAGCATAGAGCTGCGGCTCTGGGTAGTGGTGGGGGCGATCAACGGCCAATGTGTGTTCGCTCATATGGGTGGTTGAGTGAGCTCCATTGTCCAACTGCTCATAGCTGGTACATTTCTCGACATGGCCCACCTCGAGTAGCACTTCCAACGCTTGCATTTCCATGGGCTGTGAGTTTGTGTCATCTTCCAAGCCTTGCCTACCCTGATTTGTCTCATAGCTGTTGCTGTTCAAATCCCCGCCAGAAGCGCTCATATGACTGGAATGTTCGTAATCGTGGGGCAGCAAATGCTCATTATCGCTCATTTGCGTCGAATCATTGTATTCATATGACAGCATGTTCGAGTTATCGGCATCGTGGGGCAAGACGTCTTCCCCATCGCTCATTTGACTTGAGTTTTCCGGTTCGTATGGCTGGTAGGGATCGGTGTCCTCCCACGGGAAATGGCAGTCCTCGTCCTGTCTATCCAACTTCTCCAGCTTTACTTCTAATGCATTGTCTTCTGTTTCCGATTCGTTCATGTGCTCCATTACGACAACGGGTTCCATTCTGGCATTATCTTTGGTGTCGCTGTAATGCTCTTCCGGAGAAAAGCTATTGCTTTCATCATCGTGACTTAAATGATCATCGTCCGTATTTATATCATCATCGTATTGCTCTTGAATGTTATTGGCACCGTCGAACTGGTCCCCTTCTTCAGTACTTTTCGATTGAATTTCCTTGGACTCTTGTTCTTTCTCGGGGGGATTGTCATAATTGTTTACACCTTCCGCTTGTGGGGGCAAATTTAGCGTAGGTATAGCCCAGGGGTGTAGGGAAGCAAATCTTCCTGCATTTATGAGGCAAAATGGCTCAAAATGTTTCTCGCACACGCTTACCAAGTAACGTTCATATACCGGGCAATCGATTTGTGTATTGTGAAGCCATTTATCCACCTCGCTGCCATCAGGCAATGGAAATAGATTACAACAGTCTCGCTGGCGTATTGCTTTGCAAGTGAATACTGAGCACTGAGACATTCGCAAGATCACATGATTTTGCGCCTTTTCGTAGATGGTCTTAAGTATTCCCAATTGTTCTTCATCGCACTTGCTCAGCTCTTCCTTAAATTCCAACTCGCTCTTCTCATAAAGCAGCACAAAATGCAATGGACATAACCTGAGTTTCTCCAATTGATCCTCAGCCGCATTCAATTCCAATTCCTTGCACCATGCTTCGCGCAATTCCGGCGCCGCTGGAAGTGAATAAGTTGCACAGTTTCCACATTTTTTCAAGCAACATGCACGTATTTGGATCGTCTCGGGGCCAAAAATCATATGCGAAGTCCATCGCTGTCTTAATTGGAAGAACTTTACCTTTTGCTTGCGCCCGAACTGTGGCAAGCTGGACTGATATATGTCGTGCATGGACTCATATCCCAAACTCAGCGTGGGTATGGCTCCCTTGATTAAAACTCCGTTCTTAAAACAATTCGTGTGAAAATGTTCACTGCAAACTCTGGCGGCGGACAGCTGCTCTGGTTGAAGGGCCATCTGCAAATTATGCAACCAAAATTTGCCATAAAAGGTCTGAGGAATCGGAGTTAGAATCACGTTATCCTTCGCTTCCGTTTTGCCACAGCCTGTCACACAACACGCCGGAGAATGTTCCGCGTTTAGTGAGTCGGATGCATGGATATTGTCGGGATTGAGCAATAAGTTTGATGGCTCATTGTGTTCCAGCTTTAGGGTTGGCAGTGATCCTTTAAATAGATATCGTCTGTCATCAAAGCAGCGCTTCTCAAAGTGTCGCTCACACAAATGCAGAAATTGGTCCTTAACTAGTCCAAGCGGCAAATTGAGATTACGGCACCAATCACCTAAAGTTTGCACGTCACTTGGGAATTTATAATAACGCCGCACCCCGAAGCCTCGAGTCTCCACACAGGAGCTTATAGCACACCTCACTTGCGGATTGTTTGATTGTTTGTCCTCCAATTCCAGTCTCAACGTCGGCACCGAACCCTCCACCAGTTTACCAGGCTTTATGATACAATCTTTCTCAAAATGCTTGCCACACACACCAAATCCTTGTAGAATGGCTTTCCTACTATTATGTTTACAATTTCGGGCCCACTTAATGGCTACCTCCAGTTCTGTGGGATAGCAATATCGATTCCCTCGAAAACGTTGCAGGCATGTCAACACCGAGCAATAGTTAGCACGAATGTAGGCCAGGTCTATTTTCTCACCCTGCTCATCATGCGTACCGCTGGGGATATGAGAGTGATGTCCAAGATTTAAAGTCGGCAATGCGTCTGCCCGCAAATAGCCTTCAGAGTTTAATGCTTGTGGCTCAAAGTGTTCATCGCACACAAACAGTTTCTGCACATCATGACCGCCTAGTCGTGTGTTTATGAGCCATTTTAGACGCAGAAGCTCATCTTCTGGGAAGGGATACGTTGATCTGCTGCGGCTTTCGCGCTGAATGCAGTTGGGTAGGCTGCATACACGGCGCACATTCCCTGCCACCGCAGTTGTTGATATTGCTTTTGGTCTTGCTTTGAAGTCCAGCTTCGCGGCCACTGCTGTCGGTGGTCTCTCATTCATAAATATCACATCTTCGTGGTTCAAGTTCAGTGTTGGCAATGGCCATGGCTTGAGAGACCCACCATTCAGAAATTGTGGATCGAAGTGCGCTTCGCAAATGCGATATAGAGACTCTCTCTCGGGCACAAATGGAATCTTGGTGTTATGCAGCCATTTGGCGCGTGTCTTCTCACAAATGGGCAGGCGATACAAGTGCCTTTGTTCGGTGTATTTACAGCCGGGAACAGCACAGCGCAACTTTTGTGCGATTTCAAGGGATAATATGCGGTCATAGGACTTCTTTAGCTCACTCTGTACACTCTCCGGTATTTTGTCGGACAATTTGATTTGTTCATATAACTGTACGAAATGACTGAAGCAAATGTGCACCTTTTCTTCTCCCACGGGCCTATGCTGAAGTTTCTGCAGCCAAGCGGTTCGTACGGTGGCATCAGTTGGCAACTGAAGAAGTTCGTCCTCGTGCTCTGCCCAATGACAGTTTGGAGCCAAGCAACAAATGTGCGGCTGTAGCAAATTATTATTTAAATAGAGCGTATGACTGGTATGGCCCAAGTTGAGGGTAGGTAACGCATTTGGTAGCAACGTTTGTTTATCATCGCTCCAGCACTTCGCCTCAAAATGCTCTTCGCATACACGAAACTCAGGGGAAAAGTCTTGGCCAATTAATTCTAGATTATGCAACCATTTATATCTGAGGGTTCCAGACTCTGGGAAACGCAGCAAACGCACGCCATCGACGTCGCCAGTCTTTTGGCATTCACTCACACAACACGTATTGCTGTTGACCTCACTCTCCTTGCGTTTGCGTCGATGTTTCAGGCTCCAAAGCCGAAAAACCGAAGGTTGCGTTAGCCGCAAATCTTCGCCAGTATGAGTATAGGGCAGGGGAGAATCGTGACCAACATTCAGCGTGGGTACGGCATTTCTTTTTAACTTACGACTGCCCATTACTTCGGGGTCGAAGTGATCCATGCATACGCGTCCGACGCAATCTTTGGGTTTCAGTTTCAAATTGGCACACCACTTGAGTAGAACGTCCCTTTGCGTGGGGAATCTGTAGGTACTAATGAGATGCTGGGCCGTGCGCTCCTTGCGACAGTGTTGGAGACAACAAATGGGTGTGACATTATTCACGCGCTTCATTGGTGTAGTATGTATGGCTCTACCAATGTCGTGATCAACATCAGCATCATCTTCCTCAAAGTCATGCTCCGGAAATCTGTTAGGCATATTGTTGACGATCGCCTCAACATTATCGTCGGGTAGGACATGTTCTGACTCCGATTCACTGCTGCGCTCTTCGGCATAGGTTTCCACCAGTTGCATGGGATCGTAGAAGTCGTGATCATAGTCTTCTTCCTTCTCGCTTTGTTGCTGCTCTTCCACATCCTCCAATTCCCTTTTGACGTGCCCCTCTCCCATGCCATACCAGCTCTCCTCTGCCTCAGGATCGATTTCGCCTGTATTTTCCATGGCCCTTATGATGGCCTCATTATCGTAGACCACCCCAAAGTCATGTCCCAATTTCAGTGTTGGCACTGCGCCCGTTTTCAGCTTCAGTTTGCCACGTACCAGCGGCTCAAAGTGATCCACACATATGCGTCCACGACATTCTGCTGGATCCAGTCTTAGATTGGCACACCATTTCTCTAGGAGTTCCTCATTTCTGGGATAGCGATAGGTTCGCAAAGCGTTGTCGATACTCCGGCGCTTGCGACAATGCACCAAAGCACAAGTTGGCGTAAAGAACCCTGGTATATTTTTGGGATTCTCGTAGATGGGTTGCTCGCGCTCGACTTCATCTAGGTGCAATGTGGGCATAGCCCAGCCACGCAGATTTTTGCCTTCGAAACAACGCTTATTGAAGTGTATATGACAAACACGTGTCCTTCGGTCCACCTCCTCTTCATCCAGCGATAAATTGTTTAACCATTTCATTCTCTGTTGTTTACTCATGGGTAATGGATATAAACGCGCTCCATGCTCCAAACGACTGCGACCGCAACTCTGCACACAACATTTAAGCTCGCCAAGCGATTTTTTGATCTTCACTTGGGTGGTGTTCAAATCAGTCGCCTCGGACATGGTCACTGCGTCGGCATCGATTGGTTCTTGTTTTATTTTCGGCAACGAGTGGGACGATGTGGGATCCAGCAGTCTTCGTTGCCTACCAAAGAGATTGCTCTGCAGCTCCTCGGGATTAACCTGATAGAGATCCTCTGTTTCGTCATGACCCAAGTTTAATGTGGGTATGGATCCAATGTTGAGACGCGTCTTCCCTATACATATATCCTCGAAATGGGCATTGCATATTTTATAGCGTTCGCGTTCCTTAAAATTGAGATGTTCCAGACGCAAATTGTGCCGCCAGCGCTCAAAGAGCGCCTCATCTTTGGGAAAGCTATTCATTTGCACTTCGTCGAACTTGCGCGTTTTGCCACAGGTGGGAACACAACACTTGAATATGGGATCTACATAACGGTCTTCGGGTTTCGGGTTGGGTATTAGCTCTATTTGCGCATCATCATGTCCCAGTTCCAATGTGGGTATGGCCCATTTGAACAGATGCTTGGGTCCAAAGCAATCGACCTCGAAATGCTTATTACAAATGCGAACACCGACACAATCCACTGGGTTCATTTTAAGATTGTTGCACCATTTCCACAATAGATCCTCATCTTCGGTGGGGAAACGGAACAGTCGAACTTCGGGTTGTTCCTTAGATGCATTGCAGCCTTCGACCGCACAGTGTTCCTCGACAAAGGACTGTGCTTCATTGGGAAAGATGTCCTCATCGTTATGCCCCAGCTCCAGCGTAGGAATAGCGCCAGCACTCAGCCGCTTGCCATTAAACGAATGCGATTCGAAGTGCATGGAGCAAATTCGCAATTGGGCACGCAATTGAGCACCCTTCGGTCTTTGCTTGATGTTGTGAAGCCATTTACGGACCTGCGTGTAACTGTGCGGAAAGCGAAAGAGCTGAACTCCATGAGCCCGCTGACGCCGACAGCTCTCCACAATACAAACACGCTGCAGACACAGTTTATTGGCCTTCAATTTGGCCGGGTTCTGATATATTTTATACCCGGGTGGTGTGTTCAAGTCCAACGTAGGCACAGCCAGTGGTATGGGACACTTTTTACTAAGCACATGCGGCTCAAAATGCGATGAGCAGAGACGTCTCTGAGCACTGCCGAGGGGCGGCACTTGCAAATTATGCGCCCATTTAGCCAACGTAGAACGGTTGAACTTGGGGAAGCGATATAGTTGCACATTGTGGATCGCACGCACTTTACGGCAGTGCGGCAAACAGCAACGAGGCACCCAGGTGGGCTTGCTGGCATTTCCCGCCGTAACGTCAGAGTGCGGGCGTCTTCCCTTCCGCTTATAAAGTAAAGTATGTTCTGGATTCTCGTAGAGATTCTCAATATTGCTTGCCAGATTCAATGTAGGTATGGCCCAGGGACGCATGCGTTTGCCAATGCAGTGCGACTCAAAGTGCAGATTGCAAATGCGCAGATTAGGCAGCTGCTCCACATCTATTTGCAAATTGTGCGCCCACTTGGCCAGCAGGTCTGCTTCCTCGGGTGGTCTATAGAGCTTGATGTCATCCACATTGGGATTACGCTTGCAAGTTTCCACACAACATTCGCCCTCCTCATCGCCTGTATTCGGCGCACTCGGCCGTGCAAAGAACTCGGCAACTTCCGCTTCCGTCGGCAGCTTATAGGGTATATCATCATGACCCAAGACCAAAGTAGGCACAGCCCATTTCTCTAAGCGCTTGTTGCGCAAACAGCGGTCCTCAAAATGCACTTCGCAGATGGCATCATTGAAGAGTTTTGTGCCATCCGGCACTGGTTTATGCAAATTGGCGCACCATTTAGTCAGCAACGCCACATTGGAGGGAAAACGATGTAAATTGGCATGATCGCGATCACGATTGCGTTTACAGACTTGCACACAACACGTCTCTCGGATATTGAGCTTCTTAATCACATCCGGATTACGATGTATGTCCTCGTCATCGTGCCCCAAATGCAGGGTGGGCACAGCGAAGGGACGCATACAGCCGCCAATGCAATAGGGCTCGAAATGAAGACTACAAATTCGCATTCCCTTGTGCATTTTGTGCTCGGGTATCTTGAGATTGTGGCACCACTTTCGCATTTGCTCCGGTCGGCGCGGTATGGTGTGGAATGTGATGTCTTCGTTGTTATGCCGTTTGCTCTCACAATGGGGCACACAACACACATCCATGCATTCGGTAACATTGAGTGAGGAAGACGAGCCGGCACCGCCGGCAGACATACTCATAAAGGAAGCATTCAGATCTGGATCAACATACATGGAAGTGGAACTGGCCGAGGACGAGGTGGAGGCAGCGGAATGGCGCTGATAGCTCTTAGATAAATGATGCGGATGAGAATGTAGATTTTGATGATGGTGGTTGACGGGCGTTGTCGGTGTAGGCGGAGGCCACAACTCATTCTCGTAAATGTTGAAGGTGTCATTGTGACCCAAATGCAGTGTCGGCACAGCACCTGTGGATTATAGTTGAGAGTTAAGCTCTGATGGATTGAATAGGCAATCACACAACCGTAAAAATAACGAATTCGGACTTAAGGGACTACAAAAAAAGGGCATAATGAAATATAACTTGACTTGACTGCCTTGGATAACTTAAAAGTTGAATCTATTAGATATTAAAGCGACTACGGGCAACCCAACGTGATTCCAAATAAAATTATGTTGTGATTTCCTGCACAAAACTGCTTCATAAAACTTACCTGGAGACAGTTTTCGTAGACCCAATGCCTCCTTAATGAAGTGTGCACTGCATATTTTGTGATTCTTTCCTCGATATACGCTTGGATCTAGCCGCAGATTATAGCACCAGCGCCGCAGTAGCACCTCATCGCGTGGAAAACGATAGAGGGACATGTTAAAGTCTGAAGAGCGACTGCGGCGACAAAAGTTTAGACAGCAGCGTTTCTCCTCCGTATACAGATTTTTGGGATTGTCGTGAATCTTTCCATACTGAGTTCCCAAATGCAATGTGGGCACAGCCCAGGGCTTTAACCGAAACTTTCCAATACAACGCTCTTCAAAATGGCGACTGCAGAAGTGTCGCGGCTCCTTGGCCTGCACAGGCAGGCGCGCATTCTGGCACCACTTGATCAGGCTCTTGATGTCCTTGGGAAAATTGTAGAACTTCAAATTGCTTTCACCGCGCTGACTGTTGCAATTAGGCATGCTGCAACGTGCCACTTCGCCCGATGTAAAGGTGTTTGTCAGCTCCCGATTCTGATACAAATTGGCGACATCGTCATGGCCAAGATTAAATGTGGGCACCGCCCAATAGCACAGCGAATAGCGATTGATGCATCGCTTCGGAAAATGCATACTGCATATTCGATAGGTGAGATACGTGGCGGCTGGAATGTGAAACATCTTCAGATTGTGCAGCCACTGATGCAGATACTTCTCGTCCTTCGGAAACGTGAAGAACTGCAGTGTCGGGCTGGTGCTCTTTCGCACGCCACAAAGCGGTACACAGCACAGTGCATCCTCCGATTCATCAAGAGTGGACGAGTGGGCCGATTGGGTTTGTGGAGCAATGTTATTGCCATGCAACGATGTGTCACTTCCAAAGGCATTGTTATAGTTGCTATCGTGAAGACTGAAGGATGACTCGCTGGTGGAATTGCTGTAACTACGTTCCAGCTTTATATCTGTTTTCATTGTGGAAGCGAAGAGCGCTGCGCTGTCTGCGTTAACCTGACGCTGTTGCAGCAAGGAATTGAGCGCCGCTGTTGCGGGCAGAGCACTGCTGGACTTCTGATGCGATGTGGGCACTGAAAGGAGATAATATAATCGATCGATTACTAAATGGAACTAACTTAGGTAGATATAAATTATGGCAGTTTTGAGTTCTAAGTTAAGCCACAGCTTGCATAAAGTACTTCTTTGAAAGATTATAGACCGTGGGGCTTACTTTATAACTGGCTTTTAAGCAATTCTGGTTTATTTTCTTTACATTTTTAAGTTCTAGTGGGACAGAATACTTTAGGATGTGAACGCGCGTCTATTTTTATGATCACTACTAGTATATTTTAATCTCATTTGGAACATCGTTAGATATTACGTTCACTTTTGAAAAAAATTGTATTTACTGTTGATCTATTTCTCTTTCTTGATCAATTTCTATATATTATGTCAAGAATGAATGTCAAGACAATATAGTAGTGCTTAGATTAAGTTTAATTCCGTTTACAAAAATGGTTAAAGTAGCCATTTCTTTGGCCCAGATTATAAACTCTAAAATAAAGCTGAGCTGCTTTAACGCTTTAATAATAAACATACCGAGCTTAAACAATTTGGTTTTAGAATTGTTTATATCAAACGGACAGACAGGCAAATGTACAGATTGGATTCAGACGGCAAGTCATACCAAGTCTTAATATCTGTAACTCTAATCTTTTAATAGCTTGACAATATAAATATTTTACTTAACGATTTACGATTTAGAATAAAGGCTATATTAATGCTGATTTTAAATGTTGTAGTTATATTAAAATATAAAATTTATGCACTCAGTCTGTACATATTTAATTATTATGTAATATTTCGAATTATTTGGGATGACCTAAAATAAACTTGCAATGCCTAGACGTTATAGTAATCCGCACAACAAATTGTTAACTATTTTTAGTGTGTAATATCTAAGATCAAAGCGGTCATACATACAGACAGATGGAGAAATAAGTATTTAATCTAATTAAATACATTAAACAAAATTGTAAGCTTGATTTTCATATGATAAATTTTAGTATTTAGTATTTTAGCAAATAGACTTTCAACGTAAAAAAGTTAATAATAACTTCTTAAAAATAGTAGTTGCTAAAAAGGTTGCTAGTCCCCGACTCACAACGCACGACAACGATAACAAAAGTATAAACAATATTAATCACATAGTCAACTAATAGGTAAATACATAAGGTCTTTGACCTATTTGTTAATATCAAACGATAAAGCTCACACGAAAACGACAATGGAAGCATTGTTAATTGTGCAAAGCCGGTAATCTTTTTAAACAGATTTTTATTGGTGCTTCAAGTGGCTTTGCTTAACTGAGAATCGCGGAGAAGGGCTATATTTCGAATTGATATCGTTATAAATATACAAATGAGACTAGCTGCCTAATAGCATTCTACCGAATTAGTGGAAATAATGGAAACAGCTAAGAAGACGAAATTCAATCCGACATTTACTTTTCAGAATGAAACTCACTTTCAATGGTGCCCATATGACAGTCCTGGAGCTTATAGTTTGGCTGTTGTTGTTGCTGCTGTTGTGGCTGTTGTGGCTGCTGTTGCTGCTGCTGAGTAGTGGCGGCACTCGTACTATTCCCCAATCCGGCATAATATTTGCCACAGAAATAAGGGGAGGCCAGACGATGCTCATGCAGCTCCATTGGTGTTTGGTACCACAAACGACAAACTGGGCAATCGAAGCGCGGCTGGAATTTGTGTTGTGGCAGGTGTGCGTAGAGCTGCTCGCGTGTAGCAAAAGTGCCAGAGCACATCTGAAAGGGAAGCAAGTGTTGCAATTAAACCGCAAGTTGTGGAATATGGACGGGCACTCACATTGCAAAGAAAGCTTTCGTACTCATGCTGCATGTACTCGTGCGACTCGCACTCGGCTATTGTGTCGTAATGCTTGCCGCAATATTTGTGACAGAAGAACTTGTCTGTGCGATGCAATTGCTTGTGTTTCTGCAGCTCCTCGGCACTCATGAAGGACATGGGGCACATATCACATTTGAAGTCATACTCGTGTATGCTGCAACTGCTTTCGGCCACATGTCGTATATAGGTTTGCTTCTTGAAGAACACCTCCTTGCAGCGTTGGCAAATGGGCAGACTGTCCGAGCGCTCCACTTGCATTTTTCGACGTGGAAAGTTGAGCGCCTGCTGCTGCTGCTGCTGCAGCTGCATCTGAATAAAACATATAAATATATATATTAGAAAACTTTAAATCTCAAAATCAAAATAGCAGTTTAGCTTACCTTTTGACTGGCACCGCCAAATGAGTCATCCTTTACCGTCAGCTCCACCTTGGGGCTCAACATGTCCTGATTGAATTCAGGAAACTTGCTGAAATCAGCAAAGGGCGCATTATCATCTATATAGTTGGACTTGTAGGCATGTTCGTCAACGGGTTCCGCTGAAAGATACGATAAGAAATATTCAAATGAAGACAATATCGAAAAACAAATAAAAGTGAGGAAGCGATTTGTTTTAGAACAGGGCGACATCGACTAGGGGATAATATCTTATCTATATGTATAATGATTAAGAGAATGTCTTTTTAGAGCATTGCTAAACTGCAACAACAACCACAATAAAAACTCACTTTAACAATTCGAAAAATTAAAAACTTCACTGGAATTTAAATTGATTCCAATTACCAACCTACTTTACTCATAATTAATAAAATTAATAAAAATAAAAAATAAAATTAATTACAGTAGTACAAAAAATAAATGATACTGCATCATCAGGCCACAAAAAAATACGTATCTTCAAATATTTGCTGTATATAAGAGTAGTATGTACATAAATGTAATTTTGGGGTTTGTCAGTCATCGAAAAATTCGTAACGTTCTGCACCGATTGAGCTCAAATTTTAACACATTATAACACTCGGTACCATTATTGTTTTAGGCCACTCACGGAATTCAACACGATTATGAATCTGGTGCAGATCTCCTTCATTTCTCTGAGAACGAAGCAATTGTTTTGCTCTATAACGCAACTGCCGTGCTCGTAATCGTGCATAAGCAAGCCTGGCTGCTCGTTTATCTGGTGGTTCCTTGGCCAGCATCTGAGCCTGCCTTATCCTGGCTTTTTCTCGCCTGGATACCTGCATTTCATCAGTCAGATTCGAAAGGTAATTCCTTCTTGCAACTGCGGCACGAGTACGACGAGCTAAATTCGATTTTTTGGGAGGCATTATCTCGGTTTTTACTGCGAGAAAAATTTTTTATTTTGACTTGGCATGCAAGGTGTGCTAAGATTAGAGATACCAGCTGGCCGTAAAGTAACGTATGTTTCTGATACGATGATATGATTTGAACAACCCTGGAACCCAATTTGCAAATGTGTTAACATTTGAGCTCAATCGCTGCTGAGCTTTTCGATTCGACATACCATTCTCGAATTCAATATTTCCCTGCACAATTGTATTTGAGAGCAGCATCTACCATTTGCTAATACTCTTTGCTCTTGGCTGTCTACAGATGCAGCTCTAATTCGTAAACGCTGTGACCTTCGTGACGCGTTTTCTTATGCTCGCTGTTTTATTTTTATACCCTGTACCCAAAGAGTACAAGGTCTCCACTCTACCGACATTAGGAATTTTCCATAACTCCCACAATTTTTGGAATTTTCAACTCAAATTTAGAAATTACATCCGGTTAATGTTAGCTAGATCTTTTTTTATACCCTGTACCCGTAGGGTGAAAATGGTATATTTGGTTTGTGCAAAGTATGTAACATGCAGAAGGAAGCATCTCCGACCCCATAAAGTATATATATTCAGCATCAAGTTCGCTCTTCTTTTTCCTTTTGCTTCTGCTAGATGCGCATATGCCCCAGTGTCGGAAGCTTACCTGGGTACATTGTCGGGCTTTCTGGACTGTAGCGCTCTCTCTTGTTTTATTTTGCGTTCTTCGATGTGTTGCCAATCGAACGTTAACAAATATTAGAACGTCTTGGCATGATCTATTGAAAATATGTTGTTTATCTATATTTTCGTCTGTATCAATGATCAGAAATGGGCTAAATTAATGCTGGCAAAATCGCAATGTTTTCATACCCTGTACCCGAAGGTTAAAAAGGATATATGTATTAGATTTGTGCAAACTATGGAACAAGTCGAAGGAATTATCTCCGATCCCATAAAGTACATACATATATTCTGAATCAGCATGACGAGATAAATCGATCTAGATGAACGCCCAGATTTCGGAGATAGAGATACATCGACCAAACTCTTTAATACAGTCCACAATTACGGAGCTGCTTAACTAAAATTTGCCTACGTCTATTAAATGTAAGTCTTTTCCTTTGTTTTACATTTCGATCATTTCTGAACAATGTTATTAACGTGGGTTTACTCTTTTTAATACATTGTCGGGCCTAATCGTCTGTAATATTTTATCATTCTTGCAACAGAAATCACATAAAATTTCACGAATCAAAATCACGAAATATTTTTCCCAGATCCAAATGATAAAAGTACAAAACCAACTAGGTATGTTGCGTGGGGGGAGTGGGATTTGGGCAGGGTAGTATTCACATTTTTCACTCCATCCCCGGTTCTATCAACCGGATAACATGCCAGAAAAATTTATTGAAATCGCTCTAATATTCTAATTCTGAAACATTGAAAATTCAGCACGTCCGGAACTAATTCTTTTTTAAAAGTTATAAAACATATAATTCCTTTCCAAACAAACATTCGATATTTCTAAAAAACTGCTAGTTGCACAGATGATGAACTGCAGATGAACCCGACATATAAATTGTCTAAAAATAAACAATATCGGAGCCATATTTTTCCTTTACGTATAATGATTGCAGAACTATTTTGCTGCTTTAATATTAAATGTTTTTTCCAAAAATACATTTGATATTTATAAATTCCGAAAGAAAGAAAAAAAAACTGACGCAATGCGCAAAACTGAATAGGAATAAACAGGTATATATAGATGTATTTTGTTTTTTGTATCAATAGTCTATAAAAATCTCATGCACTTACAAATTGGATCAGCCTTTTTTTATGCTGCTCTCTCCATTAATAGGAACTTTGTATAAAAGTTGGATATATAGAAGTGGCAGTACAGCTAAACCTGAACTGCTCAGAGAGCAAGAGAAATGCTTGCTGATAAACAATGTGACGGCATTTATACGGACGGGGGCACGCCTAAGTTTGCCGAGCCTTCAATGCTAATCGATTTTGTACAAGATTTTCGGATTTTCAGAGCAGAATATAGAAACGGATCGCTGAGATGAAGATTGAAAATCAAATTTTTATAGAATGGAAAGAAACTATTGAAAACGTATAAAATGTTTAAGGAGGTATGCAGATAGGACAATTAATATATTTTTTAAAATGTTAAAGAAAAATGTATTCGTTATAAATAAAAAGAAATTAAGAGATTATATAAAAGGAGAAATAAAAAGAGCTTCAAGCTGCAACTCAGCTACAAAGCTTGGGTAATCGTATTGATTTCGAGGTGAAGCAGAAATGTCCTTACAGAATGAAAGTGTAAGAAAATGGAAAGAAAAGTGTACATACATCGATTATGCAAAGGAGTTGAAGAAGAAAATGTGAAGGATTTTGAGTGAAGCGAATGGAATGCTGCTGGTGGAGCATGAAGATAAAAGCGTTAAGATTAACTGAGGGCCCATTCTGGGCCCATTTTACAGAAGCCATAAAATAAGACAAATAAAAACAAGAGAAAAGTTATCAGCAGGGTGTGCTGCTGCCGCTGCTCCTGCTTTGGCTCGATAATGCGCCGGTGCACACGAACTATGCTGCGAGGGCTGCCATGAATGTTAAACCACCACCCTAAACAACCGGAATTATAATTTATTTCCAAAAATAAAATGCAAAAGCCCCTGGCGGCAAACATTATACCAAACAGCAAGGTGGTTAAATCAGAACTCTCAACATTTTTCTATGAATAGCGGGGAGATTTTTGGGATTATGTTGAATTTGAATGATGAATTAAAATGTGCGTAGCTGCACAATTTCACGTACATACCTGCTCTTATTTCTTAAAGTGTATGCACATTACACAATATAATAAAATGTCAAATGAAAATCGATTTCACGGCAAGTATCGTGCAAAGTAAATAACCATTAAACAGAAACAAAACAAAACAAGTAGAGTTAAATAAAAATTTCTCTATTCGTTGCCATGACAGCTGCAAATAAATTAGATTTCTCGACCTCGGAGCTGTGCCTGCGTTCGATAAGCAAGCACAATAGATAACAGGTCGGTCGCCTATGTAAACCAAAACTCACAATGTATCTGTAGTTTTTCTTCGGTTTTTTCCGTTCCCGAATAGAACTGCTGTTATCTTCAAATTGTTATAAATAGAATTAGTTCTACTATTTTTCTTTGTTTTTCTTCCATCCCAACTCCAAATATGGGAAACTGTTAACGAGCAATTTCAATTCCATTTCTGTCATCAATTGAAATACGAAAGAAAAATGTATTTGCGCAGTAATGCGTGAATTTAATTTGACTCCAACAACCCCCCGGGGCCCGGCGACCCTACTTTCTAGGTTAGTTCGGCGTATAGAGTATGTTACATAAGATTCGACTTGAAAATGGCAATCAAAATGCTACGAGGCACATACACAACCAGGCCCTATATAATAAACATTATAGTACTTCGGTAATATGAAGCAACTGAGTGCACACACACACACACTTACAATAGATACACACACACACAATCACGCACACACAGACACTGAGAAAGACAGACACTAGCATACACACTTACAAAACGCATGTAAACAAACACATGCACACAGACAGAGACGTAGAGAGCCAGAGATACAGATACAGACTGAAACCGAAAACCAACCGAACAAGCGAACACACAAGCGAAAAACCTCAGCGAAACTCAGCAAACGTTTTATTGATTCGACGCCAAAACCGAGCCACAAAAGTATAAAATTCGGTTTCATTGGGACAAGTGACCCCAAGTATCTGTATGCTCATACATATATAATATATATCTGCATATGTATATACATATATAAATGACCAATTGGATGACATGAGAGTGTTCATCAGAGTATTGCAGGCACAACCCAATCATTTTTCTTTTTTGTTATATTTTTATTTTGTTTTTTTTTTATATTTTATTTTACACCCCATACTTACATTTTATTATCAATTCATTGCTACTGGCATCCAAGCGATTGATGGGCGCTGGCGCTGGTGCTGGTGGCGGCGCCATCGGATTCGGGGGCTGGAAATGTTGTTGTTGTTGTTGCTGCTGCTGGTGTTGTTGTTGTTGGCGTTGTCTTTCATCGGACAATTCCATGGGTTCGCTTTTGATATAGGGATATGGAGCTGGTCCATGCATAAGACCGTGCGGCATATAGGCGCGTTGACTATGCTGTTGTTGTTGTTGCTGCTGTTGAGGCTGCTGTAACTGTTGTTGTTGTTGCTGCTGCTGTTGTTGTTGTTGTTGATATTGTAGCAGTTGATTGTGTGCATAGGCAACGGAATTTGCAGAATTCGCCTCAAGGTTATAGGGCATACCAGCATTGACATTGACGCCCATGCCACCGACAACCCCACCTGCCCCACCCCCCACGGGGCCATAATACGGGTGACTGGCCGCAGCTGCGGCCGCGCCGTATGTGCTCATGTTCATGTTGCTCTTACAGGGCGCCGAAAAGGCAGCTGCGTGCGGCGGCGGGGGCGGCTGGTAGGAAGCAACATGTGAATACCAATTCTGCATTTGTTTATGTTGCTGCTGCTGCTGCTGCTGCTGTTGTTGTTGCTGGTGGTGATGCTGCTGCTGTTGCTGTAATTTGTGATGGTTTTGCTGATGCGCAAGGTGTTCATGTTGCTGATGATGTTGTTGTTGCTGTTGTTGGTGTAACTGCTGCTGCTGCTGTTGCTGATAGTGAAGATGATGATGATGAGGGTGTTGTTGTGACATCACGAAACACGAATTTGTTTTGTAAATATATTTTTGCCGGCGCAAGGAAATAAATAATAAACGCAAACGTACGGCAAGTGTTTGATTCTCGGTCTAGTTATAGGAACTAGAAAAGACACCGCACTACGGGCGCGCAGCAGGCTCTCTCTTTTTTACGCTCTGTCTTGTTCATTGGCGTCTTTTATATACCAGTTTTTCAATTCCTTTTACGAGTATGTATGTATGTATGTTGCAACGAAATGTCATTATTTTCATTTGACTGCAAGCGTTCAAAAACTGCATTGCACACAACGCGAATATGGCCTACATCTTAAACAATTTGTTTATGCATTATTGGAATTTGTTTAATAACGCGCGACCTATAAATTTTAATTATTTTCGTTGTTTTTAACGACACACAACAAACGGCGTTCCGTACTAGAGATGTGCAAGGTGCATTGTTGCTGCCGATAAGCTGCACATCGATAACAAGTGCCCTTCTAACGGGCGATACAACGGCAGGTGTGGCGATACCGATATGCGCACCGATATAAAACCGATTGCTTCCGTTAAAAGTTTTATAAAACAATTTTATTTATTCACTACAACTACAACTAAGTACTTGATTCTTTAGGTTATTTTAGGACCCCGCACTCCCACCCGCTGCTGAAGTTCCTCCCTTAGGTGCTCGCCATCGGCCACAAAATGCTGTTCTGCTAGCTTGTCGAGTGTTTCTCGCAATTGGGATTTTACTTTCGCTACGCGCCCCAAATTCTTCGCCGAAATGGGCAATATGCGTTCGAATTTTATGACTTGTGTTGGACGCAGCTCCTCGGGGCACTGCGCCAATTGGCTTTCCAAGTGGTTCAGGCACGGCTTCAAATTAGTCCAGATATCCTGAGCACCCTCCTGGTCCATTTTGTTCACCAGCAACACGCAGGGTTTCTCCAATAAACTGGCATCGTATAGCTCCAGCTCCTTATTCAGCGCATAAATATTAGTTAGACAATCACGGTGTGGGTGCTGCTGACTCAGTTGAAATCCAAAAATGTCGACCATGAAGAGCAGCAGGCGAGTGCGCTCGATGTGCTTAAGGAATTTGTGACCCATGCCAAAATTTGCATGTGCGCCTTCAATAAGGCCGGGAAGATCAGCGACGCTAATGCAACGCAGATCGCTGTACTCAATGGTGCCAATTTGTGGGCGAATTGTGGTAACTAAAATAGAAGAATCTTCCATCGATCTCTGCGTAAGGTACAACTATTGATTTGACTTACAGGGATACGCAGCAATCTTCGGCTTCGCATTGGAAATGGCCTTTAGCAACGTGCTCTTACCAGCATTTGGAAATCCAACCAGACCCACATCCGCTATCAGCTTGAGATCCAGATTCACGGTACGACTGTCGCCGGGCCGCCCTATAAAATTGTTACCTACACAGCCGCCTACTCCGCCACCGGCTGCAATGCATGTGGCATCCGGTTCGTTCAAATCGCCCAGCAATTTGTGCTGCTCGTCGTACACTTGTACGCCGATGGGTACTTCTAAGCGCTGATCGACGCCGCGACGTCCAAATATGCACACCTTGCTGCTGTCCTCTCCACCCGAAGCTACCACTCGTTTGTCCTTAACACTCTGCGCCAGTTTACGCAACGTCACACCCTCCTTGGCCACAAAGTAGACGCAACCGCCTTGACCACCCACTCCACCATATTTCGGCAATCCGTTGCCGCCATGTCCACCGCGTACCGTCAGCCGTAATGTGTCCAGAAAGCTGGGTCGAAAGTGTGCACGCGGTGGCTGAAAACGCAGGAATTAGTTTTACATTTTGGAAGAAATTTTCAACTTACTCCCTTGGTGGATTTTAGCAGGAACTTGAATATTTGCACCATTACCGCACAATGTATGTAAATGCAGCCAGGGCTGCGCACTCAACAGCTGTTTCGCGGTATAAAAAAGAAGAAGAAGAATTGCGTCCACGTGCCATTTGTTTGTGGTTCTAAAATTGTTTGTTTTTAGTACATGCTGTTGCAATGGAGCCGGGAATCTGCTATATAAAACCAGAGTGGGTGCAATTAATTAACAATAAATGATTATTATTTATCTGCTGCATACCTTCAAAAATTCAGATTTTTGGTTGCTGAGGCAAATGGCAGTAGCACAGCAGCGCCAGAGCTGGAAACAAATAAAAGAAAACGCGACGCCGATAATGCGGCGGAGGGAAAGCCACAATTCCTGAGCAAAAAGGAGCGGAAACGTGGCCAGAACAAAGTAGGATGTAGCTTGTTTTTATATGTATTATAATAACAATATCTCATACTGCCTACAGAACCGACCCATCTTCAAGGATGATCGCACACAGCATTTGTGCAATTCGCTCATTGATGGCCCCGGTGGCGCCCCATGTGCGTTATCAAACTGCCGATATGTGCACGATCTGCCTGCATATTTGGCTGGCAAGGGCGAGGATTTGGGCGATATTTGCGTCGTCTATCAGACCAAAGGATATTGCGGTCGTGGCGTCACCTGCCGTTTTGCCAAGGCCCACATAGATGCGGATGGCAGAAATATGAAAGCATCGCATTACAATGAGCAGGCAGCGCAGACCACCTGTAATGGCATTAGCTCCGGTATAATTTTAGCAGCTGTGGCGAAAGTATATCCCATTAATGCTCTTTTTGTATGCAGAATTGCAGGTGCGCTTGCGCAAGCACGATTACGACTTCAGTCGCACCAAGTTGTTGATTGCACAAAGTGAAAAACTGCGCGATGAACGCAAAGCAAAGGCCGCCGAACCCCAACTAGGTGCTGCTATTGATGAGTCCACCGTGGGACGCGATGCACCGCTAAAGCCTGCTGTTGATTTTCGTGACAAACTGGTGCTCTCGCCGTTGACCACAGTAGGAAATTTGCCCTTTCGACGCATCTGCAAGGAATTTGGCGCTGATATCACCTGCGGGGAAATGGCCTGTGCTGTGCCGTTGCTCAAAGGTTTGACGCAGGAGTGGGCGCTGACCAAGCGCCACCAGAGTGAGGATATCTTTGGCGTACAAGTGTGCGGCAATAATCCAAATGTGATTACACAAGCCACTCAACTGTTACATGAGACGGCCAATGTAGATTATGTGGACTTGAATATTGGTTGTCCCATCGATTTGATTTATCAGCAAGGTGGCGGCAGCGCCTTGATGCGACGCACCAACATCCTCGAGCTCGCAGTACGCAGCTGTGCCCAATTGTCGCCGCAGCTGCCCTTCACTGTCAAAATGCGCACCGGCGTTTATGCGGACAAGAGTGTGGCGCACGAATTGCTGCCGCTGGTGGAGCAGTGGGGAGCCGCTGCCGTTACGCTGCATGGACGGTCGCGAGAGCAGCGTTATACGAAGCACGCGAATTGGCAGTATATTGAGGAGTGTGCCGCGAAGGCGCAAAATATGCCCGTCATTGGCAATGGCGACATACTCAGCTATGAGGATTATAAAGAACGTCGTGCGCTTGCGCCGCATGTTTCTTCCGTTATGATAGGCCGTGGTGCTTTAATTAAGCCGTGGATATTTCAGGAAATCAAGGAGCAGAAATCCTGGACACCCACATCCGCACAACGTTTCGATATTTTGACCAAGTACTGTAACTATGGTCTGGAACATTGGGGCTCTGATACAAAGGGTGTCGAAAACACACGCCGCTTTCTGCTAGAATGGATCTCCTTTCTATATCGCTACATACCGGAAGAGCTGCTGGTGGCACCACCACAGAAAATTAATGCCAGACCACAAAAGTATCGTGGACGCGATGAAATGGAAACGCTTATGAGCTCAAACAACTCGGCAGATTGGGTAAAATTGAGCGAAATGCTGCTGGGTCGAGTGCCCGAGGGCTTCAGTTTTATGCCCAAACACAAAGCAAATGCATATTAGGCAGGAAATGTAGACACCGATGAAGATTAAGAGTAATTGTAGACTTAAAGTTAATAACATAACCCACGTTTTGTTTAAAAAAACTAGACGTAACTAGCTCTTTCTATTCTTAAGTTTTTGAGATTAAGTTTTTATTGTTGTCATTAAAAAGGCTTACAGAAAAAATTGTACACTTCTCATTTCGATATGTAGGACAGCGCTTCCTCCACATCTGACTTAGATCCCAATACAATGGGACTGCGTTCGTGTATTTTCTGTGGCACAATGTCTAATATGTTGATCTTTCCGTTGCTTGCCAAACCACCGGCCAGCACAATCAGAAAAGCCATAGGATTACATTCGTAAAGCAGACGAAGCTTGCCGTTGGGCGCCGACTTGGTCGCGGGATAGATGAAGATTCCGCCATACTTGATCGTACGATGCACATCGGCGACCATGGAGCCCACATAACGTGCGCCATAGGGCTTGCCCTTCGCAGGATCCTTCTTGGCAGCAATATAGTTGAAGACGCCCTCTTCCCAGTCGGCAGCATAACCCTCGTTGATCGAATAAATTTTGCCCTTCTCAGGAACCCGCATATTTGGGTCAGTCAGTATGAATTCACCAATCGCTGGATCGTAGGTGAAACCATTTACCCCCGAGCCCAAGCCTAAGACAATGGCAGTTGCTGAGCCGTATAGGGCATAGCCGGCGGAAACCAATTGGTTGCCCGGCTGCAGTGCGTCCTGCACGGTGGGAGCGCCCTCGCTCACCTTGCGATAAATGGCAAAAATTGAGCCTATGGAGACGAGGCAGTCAATGTTCGAGGAGCCATCCAACGGATCAAAGCAGACAATGTATTTGCCCTAAAAATGTTTTATTATTAAAAAGTCGGAAAAGCTTGGGAGCTGCTGCGTTTACTCACCTGACGCTCCGTTTCCACTTCAATTACATTCTCATTCTCCTCGGATACCATCAGGCAGGTGGTGTAGGAGGATTTCAGCATATTGATGAACAGCTCATTGGACAGCACGTCCAGTTTCTTCACCTCCTCGCCCTGCACATTCACATCCCCCGCAATGCCATGCAACTTGGCAATGCCAGCCTTCCGCACAGCCGAGGCAGTCGCCTTGATGGCCGTCTGTATGCAATTCAGGAGCTGGGACAGATCGCCCGTGGCATTCTTAAACTTACGCTGCTCCTGAAGCACAAAACGCGTCAGCGTCATGGCATTGGAGTCAAAGGCGGGTCCCTGTTGCATTTTAGCTGTTCGAATCGAAGGATGGAGATTGTCAGAAAGGTGGCAAGTAAGCATAGAGCTTGGCCAAATTGAAACTTTTAAGAGATGGACTTGTGACTAGCGAGATTCCATATGCAATTCAAAATTATTTACAACTCCATTTGTAACCTAACATTACATTTAAGATTGATAAATTTCTGATTTAACAATCACTATTTAGATGCTTCTACTTATAGTTTAAGTCTATTCGAAGGAGATTTATTCAAATAAAATTTTGGATCTAACTGGATTTACAATATCTAAATCCACATACATTTTAATTTTCACTTTAATTTATGGTTTTATTTGAAATCTTAAATTGTTAAAACTATATGTGTTTTCAGGATTCTAATAATAAGTATATCATTTATGTGATTAGTTTTCTTAGCTTTTTTGCCTCTACTTGTAGTTTAAGTCTATTCGAAGGAGATTTATTCAAATACGATTTTGGATCAAATTGGATTTACAATATCTAAATCCACATAAATTTTAATTTTCACTTTAATGTATGGTTTTATTTGTAATATCTAGGTTTTTAAAACTATCTGTGTTGTCATCATATAGAATGATAATATGTATAAAATAATATGTATATAATTTACAGGGTGCGCCATCTTTTATGTCGGTATGTAAACATTGAATATCTTTGAAAATAAGAACCGATTTTCAAGTATGAGATATTTGTATTTAATTTGGTTCTGTACAATTTCTTGAATTGAGGTTTTCAACACTGGTCTACTCAAATCAATCGGTTCACTAATGACAAAGTTATTCAATATTTACATACCGACATAAAAGATGGCGCACCCTGTATGTAATCTGTTTTATTGCTCCAAGATCCGCCTAATCAGCCTCTCATGCCTCTTTTACTCTCTCTCTCTCTCTCTCTTACCCGTATGTCATCCGACAATTATTGGATAGAGGATTCTTGTCAGGATATTGTTGTCACACATTTACATAAACTATCAGTCTAGTAAGTTCATTATAGTCGAGGCAGTTAAGTTATTAATATATTCTTCTGCTGCTGCTTTATAACCAAATATGTACATATGTCAATTGATAAAATTGGCTAAATCTATCTTTATCTGTGATGCCTGCTTCATTATTTAATTCTATATCATCACCTTACTATATATTACCTAACAAAGCGAAAAAATTATGTGTAGTATTCAAAACTCTGTTTTTGCATAAGAAGTATCTTCAGACATTATTTCTTTATTATTAAAGTTTATTGTAATACCTTAGTTTGCACTGAAATATCTTATTAATTGGATATATAGTCATAAGTCCATGTATAGTTGTAGTTACATATGTATTATACATATATAAGAACATTTAGTTAGTACTCGTAATTTAATTAGTGCTAGAAGAACTGAAAAGTTGTGAATTGTATTTTACATCTCTTTTATTTAAGAGTTTTGGGTTTTAGTTACAAGTTCTGTAAACAATTTTAGTTACATGGTACATAAATCTAAAAAAATAATTGGTGGGCGTAAATGGGTTAAAGGGTACGGTTCAAGGCTAGCTAAGGTTAACAAAAAAAGGAAAGCAATTGCAGGCATAAAACTTGTCGGTTAAGTTTACTCAGCAGCTGAGCAAGGCAGGCAGCAGGAAAGGGTAGCAGGAAAGGCTGGGATGCACACAGAGAAACTACTATATACGAGTAGTATAAGTATATATAGAAACGAGTTGACTTACAATCACCATTAGCGGTCGCCATTTTGAGAAAGGCTGCGGTTCCTGTGGCTCCTTGAAAAGCAAGCAAAACACAACCACATACATTTTAAAACAATTTTATAATGGACAGCAACAGTGTTGCAGTTTTGTTGCTTTTGTTTTTGAAGATAGTGTGAAGGTCAAATAAATGTCTAGTGCTCTAGAGAGATACGGTGCGGCGTTTGGGCACAGTATTATCAAAAATTTCAAAACAGACTGTGTACATATGTAAATACAAATACATATGTACATATAGTATGTACATAATGTGTGCTGTGGTTTTTGACATTTCAGCTAGCTGATAACCTGTTTATTCAAAACATTGGACCCTCTATATATTATATGTACATATAATATTTGGTAAAATTGTGGAAAAAAACTAAAACCGGAAAAACAACAACAAGCTCAACATTTTGCCAATTCGCTCATTAGCCTACACACGTGTGGCCAAATTTATTTTAAGAACTGCTCGAGAAACACATGACTTGTTTTTTTAGATATAAAACTATATCTCAATACACACATATTTATAGTATGTGTGTGGGGTTATCTATAAGTTAGGACGCCTTTGTGTATGTACGTATACGTCACTTATGCGTAAACCTGGGCTTATATGTGTATACTGAGCCGGCACAACATTTTTGCAGCTTCGGTGTGCATTTGTTTTTGTATTTAATTTTGTTTTGTATATAAATATGTATTCTCTTTACCAATACTTTCACTTACAACAACGCACGAAGAATTCACGAATCAAAACAGACACTGAACAGCGCACCGCAATCGACGGTTGCACTGAAGAGACTGAGGAGGGAGACCAGAGATTGGCAAGCCAAAGCAAAACAGTCAACGACGACGACACCAACTTGTTTGTTTGCGCTCACGAGAATGTACACACACACAAAACAACTGCATGTATAGCAGTTGATGTGTTTTTGGGGGGCTCGCATAATGAGTGAGAGGGAGAGTGCAGACACAGCATAAAGAGAGAGCAGGCGCCCGCATGCTGATTAAAAATTGAATTTGTTGGAGCAGTGACCCCCACGCATAACTATACGTATAAGTATATACATAAATACATGAACATACGTACATATGTACGTATGTATGTTTGTAAAATACGCGTAACTTACATGAACAGCTGCTTTGGTGTTTGGTTGAGGAGGGCGTGTATTTGTATTTGTTGGCTTCGGTGCAAGTGCAAGTAAACAAAGTTGTGGGAAGTTGGAGTAATAAGCAGCGCATGTTTGGAATTTTGAGCAGAAACTTTGAGCAGAACTGCAAGCAATTGGAGCGAGAGTGAAATTCGGTGGAGATTTAATAAATGTTTATATGTATATGTACATACATATGTATGTATTCATATGCAACAATATAGTAAATGACAAATATTTCAGAGTTTCGTTTACTTTTGCATGCAGGATTTACTGAAAAATATTTTTTTTAATGAATTGAAATTTAAAAATAAATAAAAAATAATTGTCTAACTTAGGACAGATTTCAAATAAAGAATAATACTTAAAAAATATAGATTTAAGAATAAACAAATATATGGAATGAATTTTGAAAACAATAATCGCTATTTGTTATACATTTTTTCATAACTTTTGATAAAAAACAAAATATTGAAACATGTAAAAAATCCACAGAGCAAGAAGATGCACCTTATTAATTCTATAGTCAACAGAATTTAATAAATCATCGCCAGTGGAATTCGAAAATGCAAAGATTAGCTGTCCGTCCATAAGCCGTATTAACACTCGATTGTTACTGAATTCAATTGACCAGTGGCAGCAAAAAGTTTGTTCATCGGGCTGATGATGCCAACAACACGCGGTGTTCCCAAGCGGTCCCCCATCTAAGTACTAACCGCGCCCGACGCTGCTTAATTTCGGTGATCAGACGAGAACCGATGTATTCAGCGTGGTATGGTCGTTGGCGAATGCTGAGTGTTGGAAACTGTGTTTTATGCTGACATTCCATTGCCACTGGATTCAAAACAAAAGTATCTTTGAGATATGCTGAGTAGTGTTTCAACATCAACGTTTTTTCTATGTTGTGGGCACTTTCCCAAGTTAAGTTTCATCAAGATGGATCAATTTATGAATTTATTTATTTATGAATGTTATCTTCCCTTAAGTTCTGTCTGCAGCTGTTGTTGTTGCTGCTTTGTCACATCTAAAGGACTTTGTTTCAATCAACAAAACCTATGTTGAGATAAGAGTGGGTAATTTAATGTTTGAAAAGCTAATCGATTAACCCTAAGATTACGCTCTGATTCTCTTTCTACACCGCTACTCTTCAACTCGCTGTCATTGCGACGACATTGAGTTGTATTTCAGTGATATGGTCAGCCCGATTTTTAAGAACTACATATATTTTGATCAAAACACGTCTATCGTCTAGAACATACAAAAAATACACATATTCAAATATATTATATGAATAAAAACAGTAGTACAAGAACAATATTATAGCTAATCCAATATATGTATACTTCCGTTGGTAGCAGCATAATGCCAAGATGTACTTTGTACCCGGCAAATGACGTCAAAAAAAAATATAGAAAGTAAAAATATATAACGTAGCAATATGTATAAAGAACAAATTGCACACTACGGTTGTATCACAATTCATATAGTGGCGTTAAGTGTCTTTCACAACTATAGAGGATCAAAGCAAAACTAATGAAGTACTCGTTTGTGTATAAACAAAACAGAAATGCTAGAGTTGACCCAACTCTTAAATACCGAGTACTACAAACATAAGAAAGACAAGTTTCCAAAATTATTTAAATATTTATAATTTAATGTTGTTATTCCCTGTGGCACACCCCACAAAGTATATACATACTATATTCTTGATCAGGATGACAAGACGAGTCGATATAGCCATGCCCGTCTGTCCGTCCGTCTGTATGAACGCAAGGATCTCAGAAAGTATAAGAGCTAGGATAACCAAATTTGGTACATATCTAGATTCTGCTAAGTCCGAGATAGTCAGTAATTTTTTGAATTTCTAACTAAAATTTGGTAACTACATCCCGTTAGTGATTATGTGTCTGTATGCCAAGTTCCATGATAGCTCAACTATGAAGAAAGTTATAGCCATAAATATAATCTCTGCCGAAGCTCTGCCCGCAGCTGTGGTTGTTGTTGCTGCTGTGGTCCAACTTTGTGCTGCATACATACACGCATATAAACACGCAGAGACACGATTCTGTATGTGTGTTGAATATTTTTTATTTAATTAAATTTATTAAACTTTTTAAAATAATTTTCCTTTTTGTGGAGAGTACAGGGTATTTTACTGTCGGGCTTGCTCGACTGTAGCGTTCTATCTTGTATTGATAAAAGTGGTGGGATGGCTTTCCAGATGTATGCAATAGTTCTTATAACAAATCGTATGCCCATGTAGTTGAGAGGCATCGTAAGTTGATTTTGTATTCATTTCAATTCCTTTAATAACATCAATAATTGGATTTTTGGTGAAGCTACAATGATGATCAAGCCAAAAATGAATGTTGAATAATCATCTTATACTGAATGGAAATGAATATTTGTTAAGAGCAAGCGGCAGAAGCAATCGAAAATGTGTTGACATTTTGGAATAATCTTTTATTGGAATTTGAAAATGCGATGACGTCGGGACCGGATGTCTCTCCAACCTTTTTGGAAGATCTGCCACATGTTGCTGTGCTGTTGAACTGAAAGTGTACCGACCATTATGCATGTCTGTGCTATTCTGAAACCAACCACTTCTAATCCAATTATTTGAACTCAATATCACTTCATACATATATAGGAGTACACATTTTAATTATTTAATGTTACTGAAACGAATCCGGATAACGTTACTATTTATACAAACTAGAAAATAAAGTCAAATTAATTTCTACAAGTTTGAAATTGAAATTGAAATTATGTTCAATGTATAAAATCAATTTACTCATAAATAGTATTACGAAATTTTACATTTTATAGTCTGTACATGAAATGTACAAGAGTATATTAGGTTTGCGGGAGCTGAAAAATGTAACAGGCAGAAGGAGGCGTGGCAGACCCCACAAAGTATATATATTCTTGATCAGCATGACGAGACGAGTCGATCTAGCCCTGTCTGTCTGTCTGTCTGTCCGTCTGTCCGTCCGTATGAACACCTGGATCTCAGAGACTATAAGAGATAGAGACACCAAATTTTGCACAAAGATGCGTTATGTGTGTATTCTATACGAGTTTGTTTTATTTTTTTGATTTTCCCCCCCACTTCCCCCCTATGGGGGTTTTCCCGATTTTCCATTCGTATAATCGCCTATATCTCGGAGACTATAAGACCTAGGAACACCAAATTTTAGTCCCAGATGCCTTATGTGAATACGCAGAAAATGTATATTTTGGAATTCCCCTCCCTCCCCCCTCTACCCCGCAAATCGTAACTCCCGCAATTCTTGGAATTTCGAATTAAACAAGAAGTTATAGCCATAAATATATTTGCTGATGCAGCGCTGCTGCAGCGCTGCTCAAGCGCTGCCCGCGGCTGTTGTTGATGTTGCTATTTGGTTGACTGCGAAAATGCTTACACAGACACGAATAGATGCGCATAGGCATACATACACTCACACAGACGCAATTGCTATGTAAATGTGCAATTATACACCCTTTACGTGAGTTCGAATACCGAGAGAGGTAAAATCGATCCAATTTTTTTTTATTTTCTTAATTATTTTATTTTCTATAATTATTGTAAACATATGTACAGAGTATTTCAAAGTCGGGACACCCGACTTTAGCTTTTTTACTTGTTGTTTATGAAATAGCTTTAAAGTCAGTGTTCTCAGATGTTTCCGAAATCCAAGCGTTCATCCAGGCGGACACACGGAAGAACATACGGACGGACTTGTTTAGATCAAATTCTCTCGTTATGCTGACTAAAAATATATTTACTTTATGGGGTCGCCGATGTTCCCTTCTGCCTGTTACATATTTCCATTTGTTGTTAAAAATATTTAAATATCTTATCTTTATTGTAATTGTTAAAAAACATTAATTTTTAACGCATTCTTAAAATAAATGCTGTAATAGTTAGTTTTCAATAATTTTTAAATTTTTCATTTCAATTAAAAAAGCATAAAAATAAGTTTGTTTTTCATTTGAATATTATTTCCGATATTTATTGTATAGAGAGGAAATCTATGGGGGTGAAGAATCTGCCAACTATTTACATAAAATGCCAACTAATTTAATTTGTGCGAAAACTTAAAACGCAGTGCCGGCCACAAGTTTTCAGGGTAAGTGGCCAAAGGCAAGTCTTTGAAAACTTCTTGAAGACATGCCCATAACCCTCCCAGGGGATACCACTTACCATTTGTATTGTCGCATCGCCTCAGCTGCTTTTGTGAAACCACGTCTTGACCTGCGTCTCGCTCAGACCCAACGCTGTGGGTAAGTATACCCGCCTGGGCGGTCAGAGATAGCGTTCGGCTTCGAAACGTTTCTCCAGTCCCGGTAGCTGGGGGTCACTAAACACTAAATGGCGCAATGCAGTCACATCCATGCCCAGACCCAAAGTCCATTCGGGCACACAGGACGAACTTCCACACAGATTGTCATGGAAAAAGCCAATAATTACATTATAGTTTTCATAATTGACTTGTTGCCTGTTTAGTTGGTCAGTACAGCCCGTACACTTTTGGTGTCACTAATGACCTTCTGCCCACCTTTATTGCAGAAAAAGGTAGGGACTTGTATGCGCCAACGTGAAAGCATCCATAGTTGGTAAAAAATGTGATAGGAGCAACGCAATAGCTTTGGGCTCTTGTTGTGGCAGCAATTATTTGTATTCTGGTAATAGAATTAATAGTTTTAAAGGCACTTTTTAAAAACTGTGCAATTTTATATCTTTGTGCTCAGCCTGCTGCTCGCCTTCATTGCTTTGGCTATAAATTAACGAAGCAATTCGGATTAATTCTAAGTTAGAACAATGTAAATAAATAAAGAAATATCTTTGTGCTATTATTATTTAATTTAAAATGAAGCGACTAAATATATTAAAATTAGTTTCATGCTGAGACTATTGTTTAGGTTGAGTTGAAATGGCTGAAGCCATTTGTAAAGAGATCCATTGAGATGCGATGTAACAATCTTGGTCTTATGATTTTATTGGCTTCCTTGGTATACCTATAGATCATTTAGGAAGGACTTACCTAGGCAATGACAAAAAAGTTGCTCTACAGTACAGCTTTTTCGATCGTTTATAATTTTAGGAGTGTTTAAGGTCTCTTGGTGTGTGATTCGTACCGATTTCAAAAATGGTTTGTCAAAATTAACGTACTTGTATTTAATTTCGGAAATCATACAGGAAATCTTTGTCGGGTATACTCGTATAAAAACACAAATTACAATTCTATTTTTTTTTATAAAAAATAAAAACTTTGAAGTAGACCATGGAACACAGCAAAAAAAAAAGAAAGAAATAGAAAGAAATTTTAAAAATCTATTGAAATAAAAAGTATTACAAAATTCAAAATAGAATCCAATGCGATTATCAATTATTTCGCGTTCTAAAAATACGTTTATAGGACTTTTACTTAAAGCCAGAGAAGCCAGAAATGTACATATACGAGGCAATTACAAAGACTAAAAAAACGAATGGGCTCAGTAACTTCAAGAACTTCAAGAACAAGGTATAGTTCCCATCGTATCCAACCAAGCGGTTCTGCCTACAAAAATACCAAAAAAGTACTGAAAGGATATCAGCGATAAAGACAATATTGGAGCGGTTATAGGCAGGAGATTTCTTTGTTGATTCATTATAGAGCGCACATGAATTTTATTGTTCAATAAACGTACGTATTAATCTGAACAGTTGCGTATTATATCTGGATTTATGAGATGGTTGATGGTTTTTTTAGAGGAATGCGGGTAATTTAAATGTTTCTAAGTTTAATGCTCACTACATTTGTAATTAATTTTAAGAAGGTTCATTTTTCTCCCAAATATACATCATTTAAATGATTGTATATGTTTTTTAAATCAAGCCGCAATTCTATGTTAAATTTGTTTTAATTTATAAAAAAAGAAGTATTCAAAGATGAGTTTTTAAGAGTTTTTAAGAGTTTTCAAGCTGAGTGTACTTTAAACACTTATTTGTATCGACTAATTAAAAATTGTAGATTTTTTCTTTTTGATTCGTTACCTTATTTTCAGCTTTCATGTCAGCATTTTTGTGTACGTTTCGTCCTTCAGAGAAAAACAAAGTTTCACACTAAATGGCTGGGCTGTAAACCCTTAATTATTCAGTCATTGTTGCGAGCGCAGCCGCTACTCAGTATACTTTGTAAACACCCACTTATCCTTTTCATCCTGTCGGGGCGTGGCATGGTGGTGTTGGGCCACCCGTTCAACCCTACACAATGAGCGTCGTTTAACCTTATTAGTGCCCACTTTTTTGTTGTTGTTGGGACACTCAATTAGATTTGATTGCATGCTGTACTCGTACAGTCGTAGTCGCATTTTTCGGGAACGAAACAATCCAGTCATTGATTTTCGCACCAATATTCAAAGTGAAGTGGAGAGAGTGAATGACATATATATATTTCTTAAAATGGAAGTACTCGAATACAATCACTATATTTAAATCTTAACTACTACTAGGGACCTAAAATAACAATTTCTTGTACAATTCGTAACTAAAAATACTTAACAAATAAGAGTTTGTTAATGTTTTTCGATATTTTCAGGCATTTTTCATTCAATTCAGTTCAAAATATCCATGGGCTGCCTTGAAGAAATCTCTATCGGAGCTTCAATTATAGAATCCTTTATAGAAACCGAGTTTATAAAACAGATCTGTCAATCGATAAAATACAACAAAGCATATTTTTAATTTTCAAGGCATGTTTTCAATTTTCACGCATTTTATGATACTGATTCTGTGTGTTTTACGGCTCTTGGTTTAAATATTGCATTTTAATTTAAATAATAATATGCAGTTGTTGGTTTCCTACTTTGAGTTACATGGAAATCAGCAGTACTACTAAATCTAATTTGTAGAAGCTTTAATATTTTGGCGGCACAGTTAAAACTTTTAATAATTTATTTGGAACGTTTTCAAATCACTTTAAATGCAAAGGAATGTTTAGAAAATTTAATTTTTTGATAATAAATTGAAATAAATATTTTTTAATACTCAAATGGATGAATAATATTATTAAATATTTTTGAATAATTAGAATTTAAATAAATATTTATAATATGAAAAATGTACATAAATATTTAGAACTTCCTTTTATTACATTTTATAATTTAAATTGTTTTTTGTAGTATTTATTAAAATTATTACAAATGGAATCCAAATGACCTTTTTATAATTTGTAATATATTTCATTTTATTTATCAATTTATTAAAAAAATACCGCCAAATAAATGTTTTCAATTATTTAAAATATCATTAAATATTTTTATAGATTTAAAATGAAATTCAATGTTTTAAAATATTTCAACATTAAAGAAATACGTATTTGAAATATTTGAAATTGTTCATAAATATTTGGTTTATTAGAATTGTTCTTAAATATATTATAATTGTTAAATATACGTTTTTAGAGATTTTAAAATATCCGTTTCAGAACTACTAAATAATTAAGAATTTAAATTAAATATTTCTAAGCAGATTGAAAACAAATTAAATTTAAAATAAATATTCTACATATTTTAAATGGTGAATAATTAACATAAAATTTTAAATTCAATAAAAAAATTGTCTTTGCTTATTTATAAACATTTAAGAACCACTTGTTTATTCATCTATTATATTATTTAGCAAAACCGCTTCTAAATTATAGCTTCTGAATGCTTAAGACATCAAACAACATACCTTTTATCAGATAGTTATGCAAGTTGTGTTTGGTGTTTGAGAACTAAAATATTTTAAACAATACGGTCCCCCATCCCTAAATGCTAATTATAATGCATAACTGTGACTAGATTGACGCTCATCCATAACTTGATGGTTTTATGTACAGACTTATGTTGCTGGTGCTGATCTAGGTCAGCTGATATAGCTTTGCATCGCCCACTATATCCACATCACTCGAGTTGTCCTCGTCCTCGCTGTCCGCCTCCAGGTCCGAATAGTCGTCCGTGGAATAGCCGTGCTGGAGAAAACACATTCCGTCGGCGTTCATATTGCTGCGCAGCATTTGAAGCTGTTGCGGATTGTGGGGGGACTGTTGGGCGCCAACAGCCGCCCCAGCACCTGTGCCCCCGCCCGCTCCTGATGCAGCTGCAGCCGCAGCTGCCTTATAGGCCGCCATCTTGCATTGCTTGGCATCTGAGGACATGCCACTTTCCGAGCGCTGCTTGCTGCTGTTACTATTGTTGTTGTTGCTGCTGCTGCTGCCCAACTCTGTGCGTGAGAAGTCAACGGGCTCTGCGGGAAATTGCCAAAAATTGTACAACTAATTTAATTTGTGCGAAAACTTAAAACGCAGCGCCGGCCACAAGTTTTCAAGCTAATTGGCCAAAGGCAAAAGTCTTTGAAAAACTTCTTGAAGACATGCCCATAACCCTCCCAGGGGATACCACTTACCATTTGTATTGTCGCGTCGCCTCAGCTGCTTTTTGTGTTTCATGCGGCGATTCTGAAACCACGTCTTGACCTGCGTCTCGCTCAGACCCAACGCGGTGGCCAACTCGACCCGCTCGGGCGTTGAGAGATAGCGTTGGGCCTCAAAGCGTTTCTCCAGTCCCGCCAGCTGGGGGTCACTAAACACAGTGCGTGCCTTGCGACGTCGACAATGGCGCAATGCATTCACACCCATGCCCAGGCCCAAAGCCAATTCGGGCACACAGCCGGGTGCTCCGAAAAAGGGTGAGCTCCCAAACAGCCTGGCTGCCAATTTCGATGGAAATAATATATAATTGCATTATAGTTTTCATAATTGACTTGTTGCATGGTTGGGCAAACTTTTGGTGTCACTAATGGCCAAAGCTCCCACCTACCTTGGGACAGAAAGTACGGATCCACTGACTTGTATGTGCCCGACGAGGGAGACAAGTAGCCGAGGGTCATTTGCAAGAATCCATGATCACTATACGCGGCACTCGGATAAAGCACACCTGGTGGCGGTCCACCGGGAGTGGGTCCTGGTGGCGGCCCCACCGAACCTGGCGACATTTGTTGAGCCGTTGAAATTGGATCTTGTCCCGGACCAGGCGGCAAATTGGTGTAATGTGTGGCAGCGGCGACGCGTTGCTGATGCGCACTGAATATATGAATGAATAATATATAGAACACCATTTGAAAAGCACATTTTAGATACAATTTGTATTATCATTGCTAAGTACAACATCTTAATAGATTGATGTACACATTATTCCAATGACTAAATTTGTGTTCCCATGCCGATTGAAGCATCGCCTTACATTTGCACATTGTAGAGACCAGAATCTCACCCCATTCCTCCAAGTACCTTCCCACGCCAACTGAAGGCAATTGCAAGAAACCTCTGCCACTGTCCAACACTGGTAATATACACATAACGTGCACATGCTTGTCTCTCTGTTTTTTCCCTGTTTTTAATACACCGTAAGATGCCAATGGATTAGTAACTCCAATTACCAGCCTGTACTAGAGACCTTCTCCGGCCATGTGGAACTGCCAACGCTGATCCACCAACGTAAACAAACCTAACCTATTTATGTTCCAATGAGCTAGCTATACCTTTCTTAGACACTAAGTAGCATGATTTTATGTACGACCGTGAAGAACTTTTGGTAACTCCGTCACATTCTGTATGAATCCTATTGTGAAAAACAAATGTTTCACCTTTGGCGAATTTGAAAAAGTAAAAGCTTAGATTTGATTGGAAAGTCAATTTCAGCAGCGCACAAAATTGGAAAGTCTTAAACATCCAAAGACAGGGACAACTTGTGAATATTGGAGCTTAACTGTCTAGCTTTTGATTAGGTCAAAAGTTATGTTATTTTGATTAATAAATTCTTAATTGGTGTCTAACGTAAGGAAATTGCTTTCTAGTGTTATGAAATCATAGTTCCGATCTCTCTATAAATAAACAAGTTTTTGTTAGAAGAACTTGTTTAAATTTTATCGTTTCTATGACAACTGTATAGAGTACTAACATGGTCGGTATTGATAAATGATTTGTGTCCGCCAAAAAGATGAAATGTTTTGCAAACCAAAAACATAAACCGCTATTCTTTTCAGTGAAGGATGTAAAATTAGCAACAATAAAAGTTCCTTAAACGAGATTATTAATTTATTAGTTTTCATTATTCATTATAATACCGGATCTGTATTAATCTTGGGTGGCCACGAAATATTTTTTAATTAAACCTTCAACTTTACTTCATCTGTTCAGAGACCTTAACTTGGGAGCATAGGTTTGATATTATAAAATTTATTCAATATATTTTTCTCTAACGCTTTGACGGCATTTTCATTTCACTTTCCTAGACATAAATTAAATATTAAATGTATATAATCAAATTTTGCATTAATCTACCAATGTTTATCTTCGAGAATTGTAGAATTTTGGCCTCAGCTTCTAATACTCCTTTAATAATATTTTCACTCTATCTTCCTGTCATCTTGAGTTAAATTAACTAATCAGTTACCCAGCTCTCAATATGTTAGTTTTAAAATACTCACCAATTGTGAATTTAAAAGCTCCTCTTAATATAGATGATTAATGAGAATTTATGATTTCATTTCCACTAAAGCTAATAAATTAATCCACTGTCTCTAATACTGCTTTAATACTATATCTTTCTATCTTTCTGTTTAGTTGATCAATAAAGATTAAGTTTAATTTTAAAGTTCGATTATCAGTGTACCAGACCTGGTCTTCTCCAGTTAATATTTGAAGAGTTCTCTTAATCTTCGCAATGTGAATTAATGAATGAATTTGCAAAGTAAATTTGACCCATAAACGATAAAAAATCAGACCTATTTATGAAAATTAAGAACTAAATTTCCAATAAAGAAGAATTTCCAATTAATAAGTTTTCTAGCGTGGTAGGAAAGCTTGAACTAAACAATACTCTTTTTTTATCGTTCCAAATGGCATCAGATGAGATTATATTGTAAAATGATAAAATTATTGGATTTAATTTTGATATAATTTAATAGATAAAGGAACTGGACAGGGACAACTAATATGAGTTTTTTTTACAATAACACAGAATTTTTGTAAAACAATGCCACAAAACAAATTGCATTTTGAAACAAACATACACTGGGATATTGCAAGGTATTAAATATATATGGCAATCAGTAATCAAATCAGATGACATTAAATTGTTATATTAGCTGTTAAACATAGGAATAGTTGAAAAACCCGAATAGTCCCAGCCAGTATGACTGCTAATTAGACTTTTCTTATAGCACTCAACACAAAAGCTAAGTATTCGATTCATCAGCTGTTGTTACACTTTATCTTTTGAATATGAAATATATTTAATCTTGAAGTCTTACACTTCTTCTTTTGAACATAGACTATATGCATATAGAATGATCTTTAAGTTTCTAATATTCACCCACTAACACACCTATTGGTATCACTATCTACACTATTTACACTTATTTGTATTTACAATATTTGTACATATGTATATATAATTAAAATTAAATTGATGTTTCTAATTTCCACTTAAGCTAACAAAACGCACCGTTGACTGTTGAAGGACTTGGCATATTCGTCACTGGCATAGACCATATGATTGGGACTATGGTTGGGCCTTATGTTGGGCCCCGTTGCCGTACCTTCCGTGCTGGCTGTGGTTGTTGTGGTGGTTGTGTTTGGGTGATGGTTTAAATTTCTATTATTATCATAAGCGCTCGGTCTAGCACTGTTTTTTACTAATTGCTTGGCACCTTTTTGTTGATTATTGTTATTACTGTTATTGTTATTGTTGTTATTTAAATTTTGAAATAGTATGTGTTCGATGGAGAATGGCGTTTTAGTGGCAAGCATTGTGGCAGTCGTTGCCGCGCCTTTGGCATTGCCAGTTGCCGTCGGTGTGGCTGCCGCCGCTGCCACTGACGATGCGGAGGCGGTTGCCGTCGCTAGTTCTGCACTGGCACTGTTCTCATTAAGTGTTGACATGTCCATGCGTGTCGTTAGCGTTATGCGTGTTACGTCGCGTCGCGTCGGTCGCGTCGTATTGCGCGCTTATGTTGTTTACTCGTTGACGGTTGCGTTGAGTTTGTGGCAATCACCGCACATCAACCAGCAAATCGTTCTAAACGAGCTGAGCTGCTACGGCTAGGATGCTATTCCTGGTGCTGCTGCTGCTGCTACTGCTTCTTCTTCTTCTACTACTGCTCAGGTCCTTGCCCATTCTACAGTTAGCTGAGTGCAACCCCTGTTGCCTTTATTGCAGTTTGTTGCCATTGCGGTGCCCAAAAACTTAGATGCCACACCAACAGGCACACACATGCGATCCTTTTGAGAAAACACACCCCCATTTGCATGGCGTTAATATAGTCGTCTCGCTCGCACAACTCGCTCTCTCGCTAACTGTCGAGCTGACTAAATTACTGTCTGATTGTCTGTCCGTCTGTCTGTTCGTCCGTTTGCCTGCAATTTAGCCATTTGCACCATTTGCTGGCAAATAACGTTGGCATCTCTACCAACTGGGCCTACACACACACACACACACACACACACACTCACTCACACACATACATACATATATGTGTGTGTGCATGCTTGTTTAAATACTCCTGAGCTTAGTTCTAATTGACAGGCAGTCAGCTCTTGTGCCCGCATGTTAACCACAAATAAGTTGCCTCATAACCAAAACTATGCCACTCAACAATCAGTTACCTGCAGAGTCGGAGCGCAACAAAAACAACAACATCAACAACAACAACGACAAATACAATACATCGCCATTTTGCCCATAATTAACGCTTCATGGCCGCCATTGTATTCCCAGCCTATGTCTCTCAGTCCAACTGTCTGTCTGTCTTTCTGTCTGCCAGGCCATCTGTGTGTCTCTCTGTCCGTTCATCATCGTGCGTTGATGTGCATGCATTAAGTTCATTAAATGCCACAATTATTATAATTAATTTATTGATTGATGGCTCACGGACTGACTGACAACCCACCTGCTTTTCCTGCATTTCAGCAGCAAACTACAACAACAACAACGACAAAGACAAAAGAAAAAGCACGACAAGCGACAACGATGCGTATGCGTAACGGCCACTTAGTAAGCAGCTTTATTCTGCATACACAACTGTACTAAGATACGCTTTAAATACTCACCCATACAGTAGCTATCGGTTGCGAGAAATATTTAAGTCCATTTTTAATTAAACCTGCATTTATGATTAACCCCAAAACTCCCCCAGTTCTATAAATTATTCTTCCTCTTTTATACCAAAAGTATGCAACTAATTTAAAAGCTTATAAAGTTAATTCAAAATATACGTATTTGTACAATAATATTTAACATTATTTAATATTTATGGAAAAGCGAACTTAAGACAATGAAAATGCTAGCATTTATAAAAAGGACCAAAAGATTGACCAGAAAATATCGAATTTGGTCAAAAAAATCCAGTTTTTGTGGCATAGAACAATGTATTTGAAAGCGTTTGTGACCGGCAATTTCGTGTCACAGACAAGCTCTATTAATTTGTTATGAGCTTTATAAAGTTTGTAATGCAACAGCAGTTGCAGAAGGAACAATCAATCGACAATATCCTTGTACAGCTGTCATAGGAAAATTTGTTTTAGTTGAAACGCAGAAGTGAGGAAAAGAGTGATTACAGCATTGAATGTACTGTATGTGAATGTTCCATTCTTTTCAGACATTATTAACACTAATAAATGCATCAATTTTGGGACTTTTTTTGCTTCACAAACTTGTAGAAAATAGTCTCTAACCTTTAATCGAAAAAGTACATTTATTCTAAGAAAAAAAACACCCATTTTATGTAATTGCATAGAAATGTTAAGATTTAATTAAACATTTAGAAAAATATAAAACCAACTAAATATTCAATTTTAGTCAAAAATTATTTCAATTCATCAATTTTTGCTTTTGTGGTTAATTGGGTTCGATTCGATCCAGAACCGACATTTTCTAGCACTTTGCTTAAAAATAACACTTCACGCTATTAGGAAAAACTCTTATATTTGGGAAACAATATGGCTTGCTCTTTATTCTTTTAATACTTATTTATTTATTTTTTTTTACAAAATCAAAACGCTTTTAGTTACTGATACATTATGTTAAGTTTTGTATCGAAAGCTGAATTTTTAATTCCGTTTCTTAAACTTTTTTTTAAAAGAACGTCATGACCACCAATAGGAATTACACCATTCAACCTATTTTAAATTCTTTTATAATATTTAGTAATTTTACTAGCATCAGTAGTAACTGGAGCATAAATGAAAAAAATATTAATTTAAAGTAATCAGCCACAAGTTCTATTATTTACAGTCACTGTATGAATCTATTCACGATTCTTCCAACCCGTGCTACAAAGATTTAAATAATGTAATAACAATATCGAAAAGAAATTGGAATAATAATACAAGTATAATAATGTGATATATGAAGTTTTTTCTGAACTAGAAAATAAATAATAAATAATAATAAAGAGTAAATAAAATAAATTTGCAAATCTATTGTAATTATTCCTCTTTCTGTTTCTAAATTTAATGTCTGTCAAATGAATATTGAAGTTGTCGGGAGTGTCCATTTTTCTGTTCTTTTAGTTAGTCTTATCCTCGGTCTTGTCCTTGCAGAAAAACGAGAAATTATCTTCCTCTTATTTTGAATATACTTATGAACAACTGACGATGGCTAATAAATCCTAACCCACCGGGTCAGAGATTCCCTATTTTGTATTTTTATTTCATTTGTATATTATTTAATTTAATTTTTCTTAAAACTGAGCGAAAGCCATCACAAATTCGCGAGTTCTTTAAATTCTCGGTTATTCTCAGTGATTTTTACAGTACACGTTTTCATTGACAATTTCATAATGAGAAAGAAAACATGCTCTTAATGAGGCCTCGCTGGAAATTCAGCAGGAAAGGAGCTGAAAAGGAATACGATATGAAAAATATTCCACATTGCCAGCTCATACAAATAGGCAACGTACGCGCGTAATTTTAGCCAAATACTTGGCAGTAATTCAATTTAAGAAGCCAGGCAACAGTCAGGAAGTCAGCACTCAGCAGTCGGGTTGTCCGGGCAATTGGCATAACGGTACACAGCCCCCAATTCCAGCTGCGAGCAGAGCGCCAACCGCACGCGCTTCTACCACAACAGAGAGGGTGTGTCCTTTTTCCAACCAATCAGCGTTCACGTAGCTCTGGGTATGGCCATTAGAGCAGCTAGTTGTCCTTTTCGCAAGCTCGCCCAGATATTGAAAACAAGCAAGATGGTGGCAGGGGTGTCGTGGGAGTGAGCGAGTGAGGGAGTGAGGGAGGGAGCTGAGAAGGGTGCACTTGGATGCTGGCGCTGTGAAAAACAATAATGGCAACAACGATGCCCGGATAGCGACCAAAAAGCAAGACAAATTTGCTCGTTTTATTAATAAAATAAGTCACGCAAAGTAAGTCGAACATCATTATTAGGTTAAAGCCCCAAAGCGGGCGCATTAGGCTTGGCGAAGGAGTAGGCTTGTAGCGGTAATAGAAGGGGGAGAACAAGAGTGCTTGGTTAGTTACACTGCACTAAAATATCTTTTAATGATTCCAATATACTCGTACGTATGAAGAACAAAACTGTTACTAATTAGGCAGAACATTCTAGTTTTGCGACCTCTTTCCCATCTTAAAAGTTATTTATTCAGATATATGTATATAAGAAAGGAGGTTAAAATATCTAAAGCTAATACGTTCTCCTTTTATTGTTTAGATTAATCTGCGTAAATAAATACTTATAATCTAATTATCTTACTTTTTAACCTTTTCTTTTTTGATCAATCTACCTCCCGATTTAACATTATTTATCTATTATCCTATACACTCCTAGCCATTTAAGATAACATTTTTTTTTATTCTTGTAATAAAGCCAAAGTGAAGATTAAACCTGAAAACAATCAGCAGCGAAACGCACTTTAGAGTTAAGATTCAAGTACACTTGCAAAACATTAACTAAATTGACGTTACCAAAAATCATAACATTATTAGTTTAGTAGCAAAAATAGATTAAATATAAAACTGAAACAATTCTAATAAATACATATAATTATAAAGAATAAAAAGAATTATAAAAATGTTCAATGGTAAAACTAAAATTAATATTAAGTATGAATACAACTTAATAAGCTTGATATAATTAAAAATGTAATGACTAGCGTAATAAGTTAAAAGTAACCTGATAAGGTTAATAAATAAAGAAATAAATAAATTCAAAAGCTACATATAAGTACAAAAAAATATTTTTAATTTTAAAACGGCGACATGCGATTAAAACAAAAATGTAGGATTTTTAATGATTTTTAAACACAAACATAACTTTAAGTTGATTGGAGTATTTAAAATTACAAAAAAAAAAAAACCCGGAATAGTGTATTGAGCCACCTATCTACTCCGAAATTTCAAACATTCGACAACGAACTGATAAAATCTAATATGGGAACGATTTTCATCGTTTATTGTTATTAGATATGGTTTATTATATTAGTAAGTATTGCCTTAAAAAGTGTAAATAAATATCGACTTAAATTTACTTTTATGCAAACTATTATTTTCGATTTTAGCTCGACATTGTTTTCTTCGATGTTTCAATGTAAGCCCAATGATTTGGATCTACTCCACACATCGGTCCTTCGAACATCCCGCCTAAAGATTTAAGAGACTTATCAAAAACTTCAAAATTATAATAAGTATAGGTAGCTAAAGCATTAGTTGTTGAAGTCAAACAAATTTACCTTAATATACATTATTCCATTATTATGGAATACATAATTATATATAATTAAATAAAGTGAAAAACAAGTTCT